AGAGTTCTGCTTCAGACCCACTGGCCTCACCAAGAATGGCTCAGCCAGCAGGACCTGCAGTGCTGGGCAGCTGCTGGGGAAGGACAGAGAGATCCAATCACCTAAACATGGGAAGAAGGGCTGGGGTCAGTCCTAGAGGATTAGGACTCTAGTGCCTAGAGGCAGAAGCTGATGTGAGGGAAGCCAAGACCTTTTTCTCCCCAGGATCTGTACAAAAAACAAGTTTCAACATGCTGACTTTAAGTGGGTTTTCCCTGCATCTTTATTTTCTACCTGTCCTTAATGAATGACATTTTGATCTTTTAACAGTGAAGAAAATGTATTTTAGACATTTAGAAAATGAACAGGTTTTTAACTACTAGAAAAATGGCCATTAGAAAATGGGGATAAGACTTAGTTCTTGGCAAACACTAAAACAGTAAACCACCAAATAGCTCCTGTTGTAGCCTTTAAGTATCTAAACAAGGTCACATGAATTTGATCCTCAAGTTATAAAATAACTTCAGCAGTGCTTCGGCAATATACAAGCATTGCAATAAAGTAATACACATTATTAAGAAGTCATTTTATTTCCTGAAATTTGGCAATAATTATGGAAGTGGAGATTAGCACTGAATCTGTAATTAGTTCATCTGAAGGACCCAGTTACCTTCCCAACAGAAAATGGGCATGAAACCATGTGGATGGTTTTAATCCTGCCGGAGCTAATGCTGGAATTATATAAATTTGCACTGATGGCATTTTGTGGGTGCTTCCAAACATTTTGGTTTTTATTCTTTGCTTTTTATTCTACAAAGCTGCTGATCTCTGGAAATAAGGGAAATTTGTCCAACACCTGCATGCCCTTAGTAATTTTTGATGTACCAAATTCCATGTCCACACTGGGTCTCCACAAGCTCCATACTGTGCTGTAGCTGTGCCTGCATAGGTAGTGATCATTCCTGCAGAATCCTAATAGCTGGTTTTGTGTAAACAGTGAAGAACAAGCACATCTTTTTGTACTCAGGAGTCTCAGACTGACTTTGTCCCTGGGATACCAGTCTTCACTAAATCATTTCAACTAATTCAAGCTATTAAAGACTTAAAGACTGATGAGGGACAGCACTGCTGAGAGATGCAAAATCTGCCCTGGTTACCTAATAGCAGCTGACATGACTGTTGTAGAACATTACACAAAGGCCACATATATGAAAGTCTTACAAAAGCCCTGCCTGCTGTTAGAGGATAGAGAGAATTGATTTTTCCCACTTCTTTTCTGTTAATCTAATTTACACTTCTGACCTAAACACCAGCAAACTGATTTAGCATTTCTACTACTACCTGAGCGTCTGGAAGTATTTAATCCTGGACCTCTTTGTTGTATCACTGCAACAGCAGGCTAAACCTTAGTCAACAGATTTCCATTTCACGGTGGTATGTAAGACAGATTGTTACTGTTTGGGCTATTTTAGAAAGGGGAAAGTAATTGAACCTTTAAGCCAAAATTCTCAAGGGGTGGCAGTAAATGGATTATTCCCAAATGATGCCTGTGAGAGACAAGTGAATCCTTACCTGTCAACTGACAGTGACAAATTGTAGTCCAGTCTCCCACCTTTGTTCCACAGGATTAACTCTGCAAATAGCTGATGAACTCATGCAAGAAACTCTGTTCTGCTTCTGGTCTCTTCAAAGTTCCTCCACAGCTTATGGATTTATGATTGTTATCTTAACTTCTTGGAAAGTAGGCTTCACTCCCACCCTACTGCATGAGCTCAGGAGCTATGAAGTAATAAACAAGGAGTCAGATCCTCATGCACTGATACAAAATGCATGGATTTTACTGTTTTTGCAATAATTGGGAGTTAATAAATAAATTAGGCAAGAAGTCAAATTATAAATTACATTAATAAGATTAAAAAGTCAATTATATATTTTAATAATTTTTATATATATCACACACACACACAGTTAACTGGAGTAAAATAGCCTATGAAAAAAATCAAGTTTATGCAATGCTTTTGCTTTGAAATTGTGTTTTAAAATATTTATTTGGTTTCAGGCTGGAGAAATTGACTATGTTTCCTTAATGCCACAAGAGAGGGATGGAGAAACTCCCTGTTTGACATTAAATCCACAGATTGGTCCACACAAAATTTAGACTTGCTTGGTGAACTAAAAGCTAAAGTACATTTCAAACCTAATATAAATGATAAAATTCATGTGGTTTAACCAGGCTGTTAACTGTCATGCTTAAAATATTGTCAAGTAGAGTTCTAGCTGGTGACATCATCTATTGAACAGAAGGCTAAGTAATTTAAGCCTCCACAGATGTTGCTTATCTTTTAAGTTAATTTCAAATGGATTAAGAAATCTTTTCCATTTTTCTCTTTGAAAATAGAACAAAGTTTGATTCCTTAAGAAATCAGACAATCAATGACCTTGTGAAACTTTTCTTATACACCAGAAATACTGTTTCCCAAAGAATAAATGTGATTTATGGCAGAATACCATTAAAAGGATGCAACACACTGGATGAGATTTAATGTGCCCCAATGCCCCCAATTCTTGGAAAAGCAAGTCTGTAAGATTTTCATCATTAAGAATTACCAGATTCCCTCATCATTCAGACATATAAGTTTCTCAGTAGAGTTAATTGCAGCAATTAAACCAGGATTTAACAGAACAGACCTGCCACCTCACTTTTTTTCCCCCCCTGAAACTCTTTTCAGTCAATACTCAGTCTAGAATGGCAGATCACTTTCAAAACATGTAGATTTTTCCAAAGCACTGTTTGAAAAAAATGCCAGCTAACCAGCTGAAAGAAGATAGCTCCAAACATAAAATTCATTTTAAGAAAAATTTTTGAATAGTAGTGGAAACCAAGTTCTATTAAAAAATTTAAAGAACCCCTTGCACACTGGAAACAGGGTTACTGTTTACATCATTTATGTATAACACTGGTTTCTTCAGAAGTCCCTCAACTATAGGGAAAGACTGGTAGGCAGTGGAGGAAAGATCAATGACAGCTGACAATGTTGGTGACAAGTGAAGTGGAAAAAAAAAGCTACCCCAGGTTATCAAACCTTTATAAGGGCTGTACTATATACCCAGATAAACAGACATCATCATTCCTTAAGAGAGGTAGTGACAGGAGAACTAGTGAGGAGGCACAGGATTTGTTCATCTCTAGGTGCTGCTTCACAGAGCTGGTTTAGTTCTTGATTTGATGGAGGAGACTAGAAAACAGATTCAAACATGACACCCATTGCTTGTCAGCCTGTGCTGTCATCATGAGCCACTGCAGCAAAATCCTACTGCCCTACAGAATGTGAGACAAATGTCATCAGTCCCTTTTCTCTTGGAGGGCCTCTCCCTCCCGGGCCTTGTGCAAGAGTCTCTACATGTGATCCTCATTGCATAACACTTGAAGAGAAGGCATTATCCTCCTCTGAGCTACAGGCTTAATGCTCCTTGTATATCAGACTTACAACAGAACTTAACTATGCTTCATTTACATTCTCTTCCAAGGTGAGATGTCAGTGTAACTCAGAATGTAACCAAAGACCACCTAGAAGCAGCAGGTAGTTATTCAGTGACCTCCTTGGATCACGTGAACCTGCCCTCAGCATCACCCAGGTTATGCATGCAGGGGAATGTCTGAATTAACACTGAGCTCATTCACTGGTGAATTTCCTTGCATGGAAGAAGGAGGAAAAACAGAGATTTGGAACTCCGACTTCCTGGGTTTGAAGAACATTTTCCATGACAGTGTAGTATATAATTTTGGTTGAGGACTGATAAGACCTTGGCATATAGCAAACCTTCTTTTTTAACTCTGCAATCTAATTCTTGGCACTGAAACACAGTATTCCAATTAAATGACTCCCAGTGTGAGGACAATACAATAATCCATGGAATTGTCTTTGCTACCATCACAATTACCCTGTGACTGGTCCTTTCAGAGTTAAGTATCAGTGCATTATGAGATCATCAGTACCAGAAACATTAAGTAATTTCCATTTCTAATGAAATTTTGTACAACCATTATCTAGACCTAAATTGAAGAACAGATACTGCTGCTAATTTTGGCTAATCTGGATGTTTTTGTAATATCTGAAGATTTCTTCCAAGTGGAGAAGATGTAATAAACCACAGTGTTCTTTAAACAATTTTGACACAGACAGAGCTGGAAGACCACCTTCTTACAGAGGTTCTGGATGTAGGAAAGAACCCTTGACTGAAAAATCAAAGCCAGTAGGTGAAAGAGTAAGTGAAAACTCCTATTGGTACCTAAAAAAATGCAGGAACTAATCAATAAATTACCTGGGCTCAAGTTTCAAATGCAAGTATTTGAACTGATGATAATATAGTACTTCCTTGGCTTAGAGATGAAGACTATTTTGAAGGGGAAGCAAAATGCTGTCAAAGAGTCAAACAGACTAATGGGAAACGTCTCTAGTTTTCTTTCCTCCTTGTGTTAAGACCTGGTTATCTATGTATCAGTTAAAGAACACAACTCTCTAACAATCTCCACAGAAGGCAAGAGTTGTGAAAAATTTCAGATGTAACATTACAAAGCTTCCAAGCATCCAAAATATTTTTAGCGGTCTCTGGGAAAAAAAAGTAGGGGTAAGAAGGTGCAGGTGCTGTGAAATGCAATTTGGTATTCTTCTGATTAACAAACAGTGGCAGAAAACAAGATGCAAGTACCTTGCTCTGGCTTTTCCAGCTACAGCTGTAAAAGTATATTCTGGAAATATTAGTCTAGTTGCCTGCTAATATATATATGAAGTACCACCCTCATCTATGAAGTACCACCTCTCCAAAGGCCCTTAGAGAATGGCTTTATAGACTATTTCAAAAAATATCCCCCATTAATATTACAGTCTATTTGACCAGATTCTATTTGTTGTGAGGGAGTAAGCAGGGACAGGAAATCATTGTTAGACTGTGTCAAGTAAATTGATAAAAAACAAAGTTTAAAAGTTTATATGATAAAGAAGTGGACAGAACATAACCAATGTTCTCAAAAAATTTAATATCAATCTAAAGGAGGACAATTTTCTTCAAAATAAAATGTGACATGATTTTACAGCATGTTAGTTTAAAAGAAACTTATCTCCAACTGCTGTATTAATAAATCTGTATGAATATAAATAATCTGATTTAATCACATCTGCCATTTCCAGTTGCAGTTTAGCAATTATAAGCAAATACAAATCACTAAGCTAGAGTCATTTTTTGTCCTGGTCTGAATGTTGCGCCAATCTGTACTTTCCTCTTCTTGGGATTCTGAAAATTATCATACCTGGAAATAAACAAAAAAAAAAGACATTAGCAAATTCTTGTGAAATGTGGGTTTTGTGTCTGCCTCTTCAGATGCATATTAATGCACCACAGAACTCCAGATGTTTAAGTAAATGAAAAGTACCTGTCTCCTCAGACCTGGGGACCTGGAGAGTTATCACCCACACACCTAACTCAGAGAACTCTCTGCCCTGCTTCCCTTGGGTTTTTTCCCAGCTTTTGGTCTCCAAGTCCAAGGAGACACATTCTCCTTTTCAGAATGTTTATACTTCTACAGATTACTGTCTCTCCCAAACACAGCAGCTACAAAGATCACTAGAGAGGGCCAAACTCCAGCCATTTGAAAATACAAGGAGCTACTACTAAGTGGAAGCAGGAAAGACCTAGAACCTAAAGATCCTCTTTGCACTGTTATAGCTCTTAAGATAACATCAGAAACATGGTCTGTTATTTCTAGGTCCTACATGAATAAGACAATTCACTGGTAAAATAGTTGCCCTTTCTCACTATGGAACTTAATACTTCTTAAAAAACTGCTGTCAAAAGCTATCAGCTATCTGCTGCCAGTCCCCACATTTATTTAAAACTATTGTGTTTCTGATGTACAAGGAATGTGGTAAGACCACATCTCCACTGAATTCAAAATTAAGAAAAAAAAAATACTTACAGTTCAGTAAAATGCTTCCAGTCATCCTGACTAATGGATGGTCTCATTCCCTGCAGAGCAGTCATCAGGTGAGACTGGGTGATAGTCACAGTGGTCTTGGGAAGCACTGACTGATTAAGGGTGCTGTCCTCCTTGAAAAGAGCCATGAGCAGACAATGAAAAACTTCTACAGAAACACAGTGCCATCAATATCATTAACTATGGAACCTCCCATTACATGTACAGACAAATGCATTAAAAAACAGTCACAACTTTCCCCCCTCCATATTAGGAAATAACAGAAATAACTGTTGAATTACATGAATGCTAACATCTGGCTTATTTTCCTCAAATTAAGTATCATTTATCTTTGCTACTTTCATTACACAGTATTTAATATTATTGCAGAAATTATTTACCGAAATACCAAGAAGTGTGGAAAAACAACAGAAAAGCACTAAGACTAAATAATAATTTTAAAAAGTGCCATACTCCATTCTTGGTTCTGTAATTGGCCTTGCTAGCATTGATTTCTGTCCTCAGGTGCTCTACTTGCTGCTCCTGGTTCTCCAGGGAGCCTTCTTGAGAAGCTGTTCTAAGCATTGCAGGCTGTGAGGATGCAACATCTCTCTGAGTGATGCTGGTGAAGTCGTAAGTCATGGAGTTTGGACCAGAAAAACACAAAGAGCTCTAAATTGATCACAAGAGGAAATACATTAACTCATTATGGACCCAAAAGGAGCAACTCCATTACTAGGAATTAGCCTACAATTCAATATAAGCTTGCCTCCACTGGCAAAAAGAGTATTTTCTCTTTAAAATATATTACATATGAAATTTTTTTAACAGAAAGATTTAAGTTAATATGCCAAAGTGTTTGGGCAAAAGGCCAAATTTGAAAATGAAGGGTTTCACATCTGGAAAATATGTAACTGTTTCTGTAATGGTCCATCTGAAAAAGAATAAAAGTCTGCAAAGTCCATTGCTTTAATTACTTAGGAAAATCAGTGGTTCTGAAATCTGGACGAGTAGCTTTGGAATTTAAATATTCATCACCTCCAAATTCCCTGTGCATTTGATAAGTAACTCCCTTTCTAATTCAACAACTTCAGGAGGTCAAAGTCCTTGTGGGGAATCCTTGCTGAAGAATTTTCACAGTCAGAGGAAAACTAAGTCTTTAAAGTTACATTAATCGAACGCGATCACCCATAATGCAAGACAAAATATACCAAAGCACCTTAGCAGTCAGTAGTTCTCTAATGTCAAAGTTATTTTTGGCTTTAAGAATCAATGCAAGACAGTTTTGAAAACAAGAGACTAAGAACTTTGATTACTACTTGTAGTAACAGTTCTACAACAGATTGAAATTAATTTTGAAAATGAGTTTCCTACAGATCACACACAAACTCTGAAATTGTGTGCTCACTGTAAGGAGCTCAGAGGCAGCAGACCCTGTTTTGCTGACCTGCCAGCCAAGAGATGAGCTGATCACTGTGCAGGTGCTGGGCAGCCAACCTGCACATCCCTACCTGCAAACTGGCCAAAGAACTGCTGCTTTATGTGCAGCATGATGGAACATCAGGAATTCTGCTTAAAGACAATGATAGATGTTAAGGTTTAGTTCTGTTCTTTTTCACAATTCCATGGTCTGACTATTCTATTAATGTACATTTTATTGGGAACCAAAGAAGGTTCATTGATTCTTGAGACTGTAACTTAATTCCAGAAAGCTGGGTTGTCACTCTTTAGCAATAAAACGAAGTTAAAGAAAAAACAACAAACAAACCAACCACCAAAAAGTCAAGAACTGTTTTAGTGTTTGGAAAAGCTTTGGAAGGGAACAAGCCATTTGACCAGAGTGTAAAATCTAACATGAATACAATTTGCTTAATTATAGAGTATTAAGCAGTATTTTGTGATTTTGACTTTAAACTCCTGCAAGGTTGCAGAGAAGTCCATATTCTATTTTCTCAGATCATGTCCTTCCATCCCCTTCCTCACTATGGACTACTAAGTCTAATCTGAAGACAGTCTGAAGGTCAAAGAAACATAATTGTATTTATAAACAGAACCAGGCAAATGGTATGTTTTTCTGCTTCTCAACTAATAATATTTAGAAAATTCAAATAATTAAATGAGTAATTTACCAATTCTGAAGGAGTTCCATTCCCCAGCTCTGATTCATAAGAGCTTCCAAAATAAAGACGATACATGTTGGACCTTGGATCTTCAGGAAGCAAGTCAGACATATCTAAAGAAACAAGAGAGTGCTCTAGCCCTGCTTCTCCATCTGTTGCTGAATCCTCTGAGCCACTGCTGTGGTTTAGAAAAACCATGGAAGAGAGACTGAAGTCACTATCAGAACTAGATCCAAAATCCTGTAACATAAACCAGAACATTACAAGAGTTAAGTCATAACAAACTATAATCAGAAATATATGAAAAGATTTGATATACAGTGCAAATGAGAGCATCAATTTACATTTGACTCTAGTAGTAATCTGTCTTTCTCTAGGAGTATATTTCTAAATATTTTGCTGAGAAAATCTAATACCTTTAAGAATTTTCTGTCTTCATGCTAGAAAAAGTTTCAGGAGGTAATTTTAAGGTTTTATTGTTTCCACTGCCTCACACTCTCAGTAAGAGCAAGCATTGGGAAACTTCATTCATGCCCTGTGTTGTAGAACTGCACCACTTCTGTCTCTACTTTACCTGCCAAGCAAATGAGTAAAATGCTCTAGGAGGGTGAAGTGAGTCTACTTTTATAGCACCTAACTGCTGTACTTGCTTTTAGTCTATAGCCAACTTTAAATGTTGACGTGGAAATCAGAACTGCTGCTTTAAACTGATGCCTGCAAACCTCTCTGATGGTCTCTATCAGTCAAAAATTTCTGAGTGCACTCTACCAAGCAAATAGATGTTATTTTTAAATTATACATGTATCACTGAAGTTCTAATATTTTCCTCCTGCACATCACTGGACTGCCTTGTGTTTTCTCTGTGTGTGCACACCTCGCTGGACACCACTGCTTGAGACAACCACCTCTTCCTGTGATGGATAATCATGAGGTATCAACTACTTACTGATGCTACAAGTGAAGGGAGTGTTAGGGAAGACGCTCTCAATAATAAGAGTCACATCTTCAGAGCCCAATTCCTTGGTATCAGCTAGGGCAAAAAGAATTCAAGAGGGTCTCCTTCATTGTGCACCCCTGACCCAACCCTTTCTTTTAGCCACAGAGTAGTGGAAGCCATGTCTGCTCCTTTCCAGCTAGAACCAGAGGACAGGCATTAAAAATGTGAACACAGGTGGCTGAGCAGAGGCTAAAAGAGGAAGGATCTGCCTTGTGAGTCACATGAAGAGTACAAACCAAGGGTGGAACCCTGTACTTTGGAAGTTCAAGTACCAGCTGCTACCTGGAAGATAAGGCAGAGCTGGCCATTTCAGGTATTGCCTGAAATGTTCTTGCCACTTGTCTCCTGACCTCAGTCAAACTCAATATGCTGGAACAACTCCCCAAAAATCACCAATTTCTCATTTCCTCCATCATCTAAAATGTGCCATCTCAAAACTGAATTTGCTATCTGCTCCTAAGAAACTCAATGTGGGATCCCTCCTGTCAATCCCTCCTCACAACAGTGATGAACACATTTGGGCTTATATATATATATCTACTTAAAAATAAATACCTATCATTAAATGAGAACAACCTTGTGTTTAAGAAGTATTTAAACGAATTCATTACATTAATCTTGTATTTTTCTGCAAACATTTTAAAATGTTAATCCTCTACATAAAAATATAAGGAAATAAAATTTAGCTAAAAATCCCCATTGATACAATGAACTCTTTCAAACATATCAAAATAAAAATAAACAGGAGAGACTTCTTTTATATTAGTTTTATTTACCTGTGTTAAACCTAAATTTAAATTAGTATGGATTGCCTCTAATTGGGCATTGTACAACAAAGCTTTTAGGTCAGCCCCGGTGAACTGTTCAGTTTTTGCTGCTACATCCTGAAAGTCCACATCATTTGCCAAAGACAAGGAATGACTGAGAGCTTTTAAGATTTCATAGCGTGAATTCTGAAAAAAAGGAAAAAAATGTCAGTAAAGCAACCTGTTATTTTCCTTGTCCTGACTGCTAGATGGTGCTTTGGCTCTGTCACCAGCCACTTCCTCTCTGAGGGAGGAAGGATCTTTTTTCAAGAAGATACTGCCTTAATACTAGAAAGATACTAGAATGCAGTACACAGAGAATATATTTCTCCAATGTTTTGAGTCAATATCTGGGATTTTATATCTGAAATACATAAAAATATGAAGGTGAGCTCTGCTCCTCATATGTCCTTTTGTAAAGAAAAGTATGATGAAAGTGAAATGCTTCTGTTTATCTGAATGAACTTACTCTAAACCAGAACTTTAAAACAGAAAAAAAGGGGGGAAAAAAGGGAAAAAAAAAAAGAAAAAAAGAAAAAAAGAAAAAAAGAAAAAAAGAAAAAAAGAAAAAAAGAGAAAAGGAAAAAAAAAAGAAGGCACAGGATGATCATATGTGTTTTGGAATGAAATGATGTGGTGGTATTTATCAAATGTATGATAAATACCAGATAATCCAGAACTAATCTGGAAATAAGTAGCATTAATGTTTTCTCATAAAATGTGGAATCAGGGACACACATTGTACAACCTCTGAGGACTGGCTATGGTTTAAGGAAATGGCAAATCCACTGGATTCATACTTCAAAGTAAGGTGGAGAACATTATACACACTACACTGCATCCAGTTTCTTTCTGCAAATTAGTTCCTTATTTTTAATTTTTTTTTAAATCAGCTAGACCCACAGCATATGACTTGATCCAGAAGACTGTGGTAAACAGCCTTTTCCCAGTTTTATGTGAACACACAGACACTAAAATCAGTGAATTTATTCTGTTGTATAACTGGAGCTGGGAAATCAGCTTTTTCCCAGTTTGAAATGCTACTACATATAAAGAAAAGGAGAATAAAACCCATTAGTCTGGTTTTTTCCTTGCCTCTTATGTGGAATTGTTTCCTCACCTGATCAGGAGGTGGACAGTACAGGCATTTATCCAGTCGACCTGGCCTTAACAAAGCAGGGTCAATCAAATCCGGACGACTGGTAGCAGCTAGCACATAAACTCCTTAGGAAAGTGCAGAAAAATGCCATTAATATCTGCTTAATTTCTGCAAGAAAAGGAGCATACAGGTGAATTGGTACCTTGCAGGCCTTCCACACCATCTAACTGAGTCAACAGCTGGTTAACCACTCTGTCAGTGACTCCTGTGTTGTCGTGGCCTCGGCGAGGAGCAATAGAATCAAACTCATCAAAGAAAACAATACAAGGCTTAGCTGCCTGAGCTCTAAAAGGCAAAAAAATGAGAAATACTTATTTTTCTGTTAAAGTTTCATTCACTGGTAGAATTGCTTAGAAATATTGAAGGTAATTGCTTTTTGCTTCAGAGAACAGTTGTATTTAATGACAGAATAGAAAATCTGCTTTCTGTAAAATTTAGGAGGTTCTGAAAACTGGGCTGCAATAGAATCACTGCTCATTTTTATGACATACTTAGCACTCACTTTATCATTTCTAAGTGCTCAACTGTCATATTAATATACATGAAAGCTCTAAAATTCAATCACTGCAGATGAGTTCCTGGCTTACAGACAGCTAACAAAAAGACTGCTACATGATAAGTTGAGAAGCAGAGGCTATGTAGGATATGTTGGCATCAGGGAGCACTGAGGGCCAGTAAGAGCACATCTGTAAAAAAGAACTACTGGCATTGAAGACTTTAATACCAAGTTTAATATGACCCTAGGTATTGAGTGTGCATTACTACACAGAGTACAGTCAACTGAAGTATTGTCTTCTGGAAACATCTGAAAGGAATTCAGGATGTGTTTTCCAAGATAACTCTATGATGTGAACCAATGCACTGTAGCTGGAGAGAACTGGGAGTTCACCTTCAAAAGCACGTTCCTCACTGTGCAGAAAATGGGCAGTTGTTTAACAATGATGGCCAGGTTGAACCTGCCAAGACACACCCATCTGGTTCAGCACAACTGATTATTTCAGATACTTTTATGACCTGATGCCTCCTAAGACAACAAAATTATTTATTTGTGCTTCAACAAGTGAAATGTATAGCTCACAAATCTTTACAAAACAAACCTGTTAAATATATCTCGAACTGCTTGTTCACTTGCTCCAATGTATTTGCTGAGCAGTTCTGGTCCCTAAAAAGATATAATCAGAAAACAATACTCATGACATGTTTCTTAGTTTTAATTTGTAATCCAACATCAGCATATACTTTGTGTATTAGACTGAATTTTCTTGCAATCAAGACAGTGTCATCTCTGAACAGAAGAGCCAAGGGGTCTAGATAATCCAGAAGAATTTGTCAAGCATTTCAACTTATTTAAAAATATTAATTTCCATTGTTGTACCGTAACAGAACATGTGTTAACGTTATCTCAAGGCAAAGGTTTATACTGTATTTAAAAAATGTTTAAAATATATTGCTCAATTTCATTGTCCAGTAGAATCAAAATCTGGGATCTTTTTACAAAAAAAACGAGAAACTAAGAACACCTAATTAAATTTTATTATTCTGCCTAATGAATAAGTATACAAAAAAAAAAATCTCAGTAATAAAACTGTGAAGTTCCAGGAATCAGATATCCAGAGACTCACTTATATGTTACTTTCTAACTGTGGTATTTTGCCCTCACAAGCACATAGTTTCAGGTATTATGTAAAGTTATTTAACTCAGTTAATAAAATGAATCATTAAGCTTAAACTGTTGCTACCTTGATGCTGATGAAATTCATTCCACTCTCTCTTGCAACCACTCCTGCCAACAGTGTTTTTCCTGTTCCAGGTGCTCCGTACAGCAAAACTCCTGATCTCTGCCGTATGGGCAGGTTTGCAAATAATTCTGGATACTGGAAAAGAGTTTCAATGTGATATATTTTAAAATACGCAAGTATTCTGTAATGTACTGTAACATCATTGGCCAGTGATGATTTTTGTCTAAACAGAATGCATCTGATTTATTATATCCCCAGTATTATCCCAAGAGCTCATTTGGACTGCTTTCAGTTTACCTGGGGCTGAACTAGATTCCTAGGTGTAACAGGTACCTAAAATACAAACAAGTGGGATTTTCTACCAAGCAAAACAGGTGAGAATAGGGATGGACTAAAGCTTTACATTCTCCCTACTAGTAGCTCTAAATTTCTATTTTAATTACTGAATGATATGATCAAATATACCATTCAGTCATTTCTCTGAAGAGTCAATGCTCAGTGGCTCATCTCAACATTCAAGTTTTAAGCAAGGCAGAAAGGCCAAAGTAAAATGAGACTGATGGACTGGCATTCATCTGGAAGAAAATACTCCTCTAGCAAAAGCACTGTAGAAACCAGCTGGAAATGTTGTCTTTACAGAGCCCGATCACAAGCCCTGCAAGCAATACTCCAATACTGCAGAGCAACACTTGCTCTGTAGTAAAGCTCTGCCATTGTCTTTTCTATCTGGAAGAGAGAAGGGGAAGGAGAAAGTGTTTTCCAGTAGCTGAAGACAGTTGAAGATTGGAAAGCTACAAAATCATGCCTGTCATCTTTCTATCCAACACTTTCCAAACCTTAAAAAATAATTCTTCCCTACTAACATTACGTGCAAAATTCAAGTAACTAATTTAAAGGAACTTAGTACCTTTACAGGTAACAGGATGGTATCCCTGAGCATTTGCTTCACATCTTTTAAGCCACCAATCCTGTCCCAGCCAAGGTCTTTAGGTTTATGAAGGTTGACATTTCTCAGAGCTAATGGAGTAAAATCTTTTAGAGCTGTCTGAAAATCCACAGTTGACAGGTTCAAATCTGCTTTAAAAAAACAAAAAAAAATCCTGAAAAAACCCCAAACAAACAGGGGTTGTTGCCAGTAACAAACTCCTTACAATATGTAACTATTAAAGAAACATTAAACATAAAATATAAAACCTGGGGGTTTCTTTCTGCATTCTGGATAACAGAAGTAAGACTATGAATTAAGAGATTTTGTTGCCAACATACCACCATTATCTGATGCATTCTGGTTAGAAGCACAGGTATGAATGGCACGATCCACCAGCATAGTAAAATCTCTAGCAACAAAACCTTCTGTTTCCTTTGCAATACACTGGAGGTCAAGATCAGAGAAGTCCTTTGGATCAGAATTCAGTTTCTTCTTTATTATGGAATACAGCACTTCATATCTTTGCTTCTGAAAAACAGAATTGTGCAGCAAATGTGTATTGAGTTTAGTATATGGAGTTTTTATATGGAGTTTTTTATTTTTTATATGAAGGTCAGGAATTCAAAGAGTAAACAGGTATGACTTACTAAAATTTCCTTAAATATTTGCACAACATCAACCCTTTAAAAAACCAAACCTAAGTAATATAAACAAATGCTAGTGCTTCAGGTGCACTTCAATAAATTCACCCATTTTATAACTATAAATATTCACCTCACCAGAGCCACTTTAAATTCAACAATAATAATGAAACATCCCTCCCTCCTCAGATTCTAGTGTTTTACATCCTTTTTTTCTGTTTCACAGGAAAAAGAATATTTATATTTTTGACAGCATGAGCAAAGAATATGTTTGAGATACAATATATTGTGCTAGATAAAAAAACTTCAAATAATATGGTATCTTTTTGGTATCTTTTGAGATCTTGACTCATCCTTATTTCAGTATTAGTATTAAAAACAACAAAAGCAGACTTGCAGGAAGTGGGAGAAAGTTAAACTGCATCTAACACAGCATACCCTCCTCAGTGGCTTTTAACAGCTGGCCTGTGACTGAAGACACACAGACAGGAACAACTCATGCTAAATACAAACGAGTCATTAGAGGATGAGGGTTTCAAAGTATCTGCTTTCTCCTGCATGAAAGTTAATACTTTTCATTCTTCTCTTTATCCATTTTTTTTAAACTAGACTATGTTCAAAAGTAGAGGAATAGTATTAATATGGGAACAAACCTAAAATTGTCCCATCAAATTAACATTTAGTTTTAATAACAATTTTAAAATGCATGTGCTAGGGACATCCTTATTTCACTGAGCTGTGAAAAACCACACATTTAACTTCATATCTCTAACTTGATGACTTACATGTTTTACAAAGCTGCTCCTTCAGCATCCCCTTGGATGTAACAAGGAGACATGCATATCTCACCTGTGTTAGACAACCTGACTTGTTTCATGTTGAACTGAAACATCCTCTGAATACACCCTTCTCTTACCACTGAAGAGTGGGGCCAACTCTGAGTTTTTACTGGATTACTCTTACTTTTTTTAATTTTATAATGACAGATTCTGAGGTACTTAAGTATCATGAAAGAACTTCTAAGATTTCCAGATTTTTTTTTTCATCTTCAGGTGTAACCTACTATTTTTGCAGCTGTTCCAGCATCATACTTGAGGCTTCTGGGAAGGCAAACAACATTTTAAGCATTTTTATTTGAATTTACCTGATCTGGAGATTGGATACATTTGAAGCACTGAAATACATGAGTTCCTTGTGCTGAAACCAGGGAAGGATGAAGGGAATGTTCAGACTGACTCGTGGCAATTAATGCAATCAAACTCCCCATGGAAATAACTTCTTTCATCAGATCTTTCAAAACTAAACACAGAAGATATTGATCCATGAATTGCAAAAGAACAAAACCCTAACCTGGAGAGCAGCATTAGTACAACAAAATACAACAGCTTTGTAACATATTATTTTTATTCCCATGTTTACAGTTGTTTTTTTAAACGAAAAAATAAAAAAGAAAAAGTGATTCTCTCTAGGACAGCACATTCCATTAAGAAAATGCCATCAGAAGTGCTTTTAAAAAGCTGATTTTGTAATGTCACTGATGGTATCTACTTTTGTGTGCTATTACTCCCTCCATGCAAGCAAAAAAAAAAAAAGTTATAGGAAAAAACCCCAGATCTTAAGGCTAGAAAATAAGCACTCCAAGAGAAAGGTATTACATAAAAGTAAAAAAAAAATTAAGGATGCAAGGTAGATGATCAAGAAAAAAATCTTTAAAACTCTAAAGCTCTGTTGTATGCATTACACCTTTAAGTAAAAGTAATAAGAAAACCAAACAATTCTGCATGTAACTTAGCACATTTTTTAGGAAGAAATTATAGTAAGATTTTCTGAATTTCAGAAGTATTTCAGTAAAAATTATTCTAACTCCCTCAAACTGAGCTTAGAAATGGAAGGCTATGGCTTTATTAATCTTGGTTATTTAGATTTAATTTGCAACTTAGCATTGCCTAGACTTTCAGGAATAAAAGGGAACCATATACAGGATGTCAAACTACAACTGATCATCTTGTTTTTAACATTTGTGATTTGTTACATTGTAAAACAGGACAGAAGTTCTACACTGTATACTAAGTAGGATGATAAAAAAGTTGGTACTCATCTAAAATGAGCCGATTCTCAACATCAGTAAGTATCAAATTGATGTATCACTGTAATTATAAATAATAATTCTGGAAAACAAAAAATCGATTTATCAGAAATGATCAGTTAAAGGTTTAGTTGCAGTTTGTACTCAATTGCAACTATCTGGCTGTATAAGTAATAAAAAAAACAACAGAGAAGCCTCAAGCACTGGCAGTGGTACTGACAACAGGCATTACCAGCAGCAGTGGTGGATGCACATTGGCAAGGACTACCCCAAGACCCACAGTGCATTATTTTGATTCAGCTAGGAATCAACAAATGCCTGCATACCATAATTTGTGAGTCTCTGCCTGAATATCACATGGACCAGAGGCAATAATGATACAGACAGAATTGTTCAGGTAGGACAGTACAACTCAAGTGGTAAGAAATTCTAACTTGCATTATATTTCTATCTAGACAAAGGTAGAACATACCATAAGCAAGTCTATTGCTCTGAACAGTTTCAGGGCTGTTCTCATGCTCGGGTGTAGAAGGTACTCCGACAACGTGATCAAGATCATCCATCAGAAGAATGGATGGCTGTCTCCATGCTGCCTCTAAAAAAGCTTCTTCCACATGTTTCCTTATGTTTACTAATCTTTTTCCTAAAACAAAATACTATTAGAATGACACAAAATATCAGGAAAAAAATCAGAGTGACTACATCTTGCTCACAATGTTTTATTTTGTCTATTTTGACTTCACATCTATAAATCCAGATACCAAGATTAAACCAGAATCAACAATCACTAAAGAAGAGAATCCACACCTTCAATCAAAAAGTATTAAAAGGTTCCACATGTTCTAAAATGAGAATAATCATCTTTATCTAATCCCTGTAGAAGCCCACAAGTTTAATTTCCAGACAGTTAAAACCAGAGAAATATCAGAAGCATTCTAAAAAACTTACTAAAGAATCCTGCAATTGGAAGAATTTTCCAGAGCAAAGGACCTAGCTCATCATCAATCTTTCCCCTTTTCTCTGGTGCAAGGAGCTCCAGCTTAAATTGTGATTTCAGCAAAAAGAATGTAGTGAAGAAATACAAGGGCTCTGTAAGAAAACAGCTGAGTATTTTCTGCCCTTGTAACAGCAAGACTATTTAGAAAAGCCAGTGAAATGCAAGAGCAGAAAAATGCCTCCTTTGTGCTCTTCCATCTTCGCGTAAAATAATTATTTTGAACTCACAAAGCCTAAGGAGTCATCTCATCATCTCTAATCATGAGTGTTAGATGCCTAATGCCAAATGCACTAGATTAGTAAATATGCCACCATAAATCAGCTTTCAGTTGGTCATTTGATCCTTCTTTGGTGCCTGTGTTTTCCTCTCACTGAGTACGGGTATCCTTTAACACTAATGGTTTGTTAACAAAACATTTGCTCCAGCTAGCACAGCTGAAAAAACACAGTTCAATTTTTGCAACTTCTTCCTATTTTGTAACAATTAGAAATTAGCATGGCAAGCATGGTTTGAATTGCTGGTGGTATGTGGGACAGAAACTGATGGAGATGGGAAATAAACTTACAGTAGCTGTATTTTCATCAGACTGTTGAAGATAGTAATTGTGGGGCATCAAACATCCTTGTGAAAACAGCAAAAATGCTAAAAAAATTATTCAGACCAACTATAGTAACTTCATAACTGTGCCTCTATTGTACAGCAAAAATTTGAGATTAAAATAAACTATTGTCATACCTCTTAAAGCTTTACAATCAATTACTTCTACATGAGCATCCAGTCTAGTGAAAGCTTCTTTGCAGACGGCCTTTGCTAATGTTGACTTTCCACTTCCCTACAAAAATAAATGTAGCTAAAGTAAATTGACAGAGGCAACGTGTTTCTGTGTTCTTGTCACAGTATGCACCAGTCAACAAGCTGGGGAAGCTGTACACACACTGGGATTATTCCTCAGTAAAAGTAGTATGTATTCTTCTCTGTATCACTTAGTAGGGACCAAAGCCCTAGAGTGAAACAAAGAAATTCAGAGTGGATACATCCAGTACAGTGTTCTGACTCCACTGAGCTCAGTGGCATATGGTATTAAATAGATCACTGTAAGAGGCAACAGCAAAATAACAGTATCAACTCCACTGCCATTTTATGTTAGAATACAAGAGAAAATATACACTTATTTTTCTTCAAATAATTCAAAGACAAGAGGTGCTTATCATAATATAAACACAAAGTAGATTAATCGCCTACTGAAACTGCATTCTTCAATAAATATATATATATAAATATATATACATGTTTTGAAGATTGCACACAGAGTTGTGAAAATGTTTTACTGAATTATCTCTATTCAGTTCACTGCTCTTTTTTTCAGCTTGCTCTTTATTCCTCAGAACAAAGTATCTTCAGTGCAAAGTATCAAAGAAAACTAATGTCATCCAGTTTGCAACCATGGAAAACAATGTGCAAGGGTTTGCAGGTGAAAGCAGAAGTGAGTACCTTTCCTCCTGTGAGAAGCACCCCTCCACTTCGCAGTCCCACAGCATTAGCAGCCAGCTTTTGGGATAAAGGACGCCCCAGAAGACTGTGGCTTATGTGTTCAAATAAAGATGTGCCTAATTTGTCCACTCCTCTGCAGGGAAAAGGAAACAGTAAATGGCCTACGGTAGCATCAGTGCACACTCAGTAGGCAGAAAAGCTTGCACTATGGGGGAGTTAGAATGCTGACAGACTACCTCAGTTGCCTTTCCCAGCACTGACAGCATGCTACCACAACACTCCAAGCCTCTCATGTCTCCTCTGCCCCATCCCTTCACATTTGCGACACTGTACCGCTGTTTTTTCCCTTGTACTTATGACCACAGCACTCCGCATTTCTCCCCTCAGATGATAATTGCAACAAAACTTTTAGGAACTACAGTTCTCTGAGACCCTTACTTTTAAATGTAGCTGAACAAGTAAACAGGTGGAAGTTACTGGAGGGCATGCATTGGCAGACTGCAACTTAAAAATTTTGTATATTTGAACACCTCAGCTAAAACTACCCCACTGTCCCTTGCTGCTATGTAGAAGTCTGTTCACTCTACTTAGAAAAGCAAAAACTGACACAAGCCAAAAGATGCACAGTTTTGCTTAGATCTGGCATAGTTTCCAAGAAGTCTGCTTTTCCACCAGTGCTATTTTTTTCTAATTCTCATTCCCATTCCCTCCCATGTTTTTTCCCACAAAAATGTCTCACCCTAAATCGCTTAGTTTGTGGTATGGAAGGTTCTTGTCTCTATCAGGCATAGGTGGCTGCTTGTCATCATCAGCTTTTCTACTTAGAGGATGTAAAAGAACCTAAAACAAAGGAGAGTTATGACTTTAGATGAAATATAACTACAGAAGAAGGCTATGGAGTGACCAGCCATTTCTGGACTTGTGCAAAGATAACACTGCATGTATGCTTTGCTGTGCCTGAAAGAAAGGTGCATTGTTGAAGTGGAAGAGATACAAATAATGTATAATGTATAACAAAGTAATTTAATAATGTAAGATTAGATTTTGGGCCAAGAGCTGTTTATAACAGACTGTGCAGCCCACTATCTCTTTCCCTACCTGCAGCTCTCCCCCTGTCCTGCTGGCAGGAGAGCTGATGAGGCAGAATAGTGAACCTGATCAGGAATCTGATTGGATGAAAAGTAACTTGACAAAGCATCTGGCATGAATTTTTCCATCTTGTTCATGAGGGAGCTACCATGGAAAGCTGAGCAGGCAAATAGGGGTTGCAGAGGTTCACAGGTAAGAACAGGCTAGTAGGAGATGTTGACATAGCTATTAAGAAATGCATTTTGCTCTTTCATCTTAGTTTCAGTCACTTGAACAATTTTTAGAAGCCTTCTTATAGTTTAGTACTAGTAAAAGAAAGTTCATTTGATTTTTTTTTAACAGCAATTCTAAATTTTGCAGGCAAGTTCTATTCTAACCAGCCAAAAAAACACTTTTAATTCTCCACTAAAATTCACTGTATGTTTAAAAATTAAGAAAACATTATCCTACTCCTATAATCATAACCCTGAAATAATGGGCAGTGGATCAACTGGAATTACTAATGGAAGCAGTAATTCTCATATTAAATAGAAATATTTATTCTCCTGAGAAATGAAATATGGAAGAAGCAGAAGGCACACAAACTGTACCAGAGAAAAGGCAGGCTGAGTGTGGTAGGTGAGTTACCAAGGGAGAGAACAACTATGTATAAGGATGGTACATATACAAATAAGTGTAAGGATGTTCAAACATGGACAGCACTGACTCTCCTCTCTTTGAACTGATTTTTCTGAGAGTTTGATGTGCAAACTCTTATGACACTCAGTGACAAGCATGGCATGCCTGGAATTTCAGCAGGCCCTCAAGCGACAAAATGACATAGAGGATGCAGATATAACTTTATGAATAGACCGACATTATTTACTTTAAAAGGGAAACTGAAATATATACAAAATGCAATACATTTTAAACAAGTAGAACAATTTAAATTACTTGATACCTGATACTATGTGATATTTACTTGTATATTTGTCTTTTGCAGCAAACTGGGACTCAGTATAAAAATATTCTCAGATTTATTTTCTTCAGTGTGCACGGGATGCGCTGCACTAAGGACAAATTCCTCTATTCCTGTAACAACACAATGAACAACTATTAAAACTCCAAATACATTAAGTTTTTGTTCCTCACAAGATAAGACAGATTAGAATATTGCTATAATAGAATCAAAAATGAAAGACTAAAAAAGATTAATCATTATTAAGGGGTAACTCAAGCTTACACTTTCAGTATGAAGAGGTATCAGTTATGTTAAAAGGTGTACACAGAAATTAACTGGCATACTGGCTAAGTAAATTCCACAGTAGACAGGACAGAATTATCCTTGCCTTCTTTAACAGACAGATGTATACAGTCTGTGCTTGTCATTATCCATGGGTGATCATCAGTAGCGGAATCCTGCAGCCAAGAACTGAATGCACATTTAACATCATCTTCATGTATATCTTTATGCTAAATAGGAAAATGGAAGAAGGTAAATAAAACAAAACCAGGTGTACGTAAGTAAAAATGTTTTCTTCCAATGCATGAGGCATTTGTTTCTCTTATGGCAGCAGAGAGATGGAAGAAGTAAGAGTTTTATTCATTTAGAAAACACCATTTTGCCAGCAAACACCATTTCTATCAACTGCTCTAGGGAAAACATCTGTGCAGCTCCTGCTATGGCCACAGCTGAGTATTAGACCACCTCTAAAGACTTTTCCTTCAGAACACTGATATGAGGGCAACAAAAAACTTCTATTTTTGTTTTACTTATCTGCCTTCCCAGATCCAAGGGCACTGCTCAGATCCCAGGTTTGAAGATATGCACTGATATTGACCTGAGACTTATCTCAGGTGCTCACTACATCCCTCTCTTTCTCATATACCCTTTCCCTATAAAAAGAACCGTGTTTACAGTACATTAATCAAAATACAAATACCAGATAAGCTCTGTTTAAGTAGATCATAGCAATCTATTAACTTAAATTTACATAGTCAAAAGAAAAAACAAGAAATTATACCCCCTGAAAAATCCTTTGGAATTATTTCTATAGAGAACATTATCTAACAAATTAGAACAAATAAACACAATGCCCTCCTTCCCACTCTCCCCCCCCGAGTTTGACTAGAGCAACATTATCAGTTTCCCAATATATGAACAGGTATGTGACCAGTAATATCAACTCACTAAGTTCTGTTTGGGTTGCAGCGTAAGAGATACAGGAATTTTAGGAACAGATTCAACTGACTTAATTCGGACTGTTGAATGTATTTCAATATGTAGTTTTTTCCTCAGACCATCTGCAATCTGAAATATTTAAAATAAAAGCAAAAAAAACCCATTAGAAAGTAAGCTAGTTATAACATTGCATATATAATACTACATCAACTTCTTCACTAATGGAACCTCAAGAGAATTAAGAAGGAATTTATAACATTGACAGTGATATCCAAATTTTACTCTTACATGCACACTTCTAGTTACCTTTTGTCCTATTTGCGAAAGTGCTCAGAACAGCTGACCTTCTACTAACTTAATAAACTTAAAAGCTCAAAAAAGGAGTAGAAGAAATTCTTTAACATTGCAAGAATGCTCTTAGTATAGGAGAAAAACAACAATTTAATTTCATTTGCTGATTAAAATTATTTCTTGCGGGTAGGTAAATATACACAGACCATTACGAGACCAAAACTAAGCACCCCTGCAGGAGAGAGACAGAAAATGCAGCCTCCCTAAATCATACTAGTCAGTTGGCCCTTTTAAGGAAACTCCTTTTTAATCTGTTATTTTAAAACTTACATCAATTTGAAAACATGTCATAAATATTTCTTAACTGTGAGAGACTTTATGATAGCTGGCATTTGGAAAATTGTTATGTCTGTCAAAAGATTTCACAGCAAAGACCACTGCAGGCTCTTGTTCTCATTCTTAATACAGCAATGAGTGAATGGTGAGAATTATATTATGTCAAAATAGTCAAATGGTGATTTGGAGCACATTTCATTTGTTTTTGTTGATCCCACATGTGCTTCCAGGAAAGAAAGAACAGGCAGTAGTTCTATCAGAACAAACTGAAACATCAGTGTCTCCATACCCGGACTTGTGCCACCTGGCAAAACGACATATGAAAACTAAAGCTGGTTATTGGATATTCATCTTCAGTATGTATTTTAAACCCTGTATAAAAGGACTCGCAAACATTATGCAGCACTAGGATACACCATCCCATTACTTTATACTTTGATGACCCCTAGGTCAATGCACATTTCAAAGAGTTAACTGATGAAGAGTCTCATAATAAAGGACTGAATGTACGTAAATAGGTACTTTCTCGTTAATACAATGGCTACCTGCAGCTTGTGAAGAAAGCATTTATTCCCTTCAGAAACGCTGAAGCATTTTCCTCATTTGGTGTAAAAATGCTAAGTGTGCAAAAACCCAGAGCACACCGTACACCTTGGAGCATGATGGTAAGTAATGTAGTCCAGAATGAGTACAAAGCACAGCTCTAGCAAACAGTATTTGGTTCTAGAAAACTCAAGAGATTAACACAAAGCCTACAGCCCAACACCACAGGTTAAGTAGCCAGTTCACAACTATCCAATAGAAAATATTATAAAATAATATGGTGCGCTCAAACTGACCCAAACTCTTCCAACATGCAGGGCTCCCCCATCATGGCCATACTCTATGACACTCTTTAGGTCTTCAAATCCATTCCAAACGATTTGAACAACAGATCCCTCACTGGATGCTTCACCGCTAATAGAATTAGAAGGATTTTTGTCTTGTGTACTAGTCAAATGATTTTGCTTTTCAAGTGGCAGATTTTGTTTTGCTTCTTGATGACGCTGTCTTGGGGAAAGCAGCTCGTTAATTTTCCCATAAGATACTACAGGATTTGGATCCAAATCAACATATTCTAAATTCCATGGAAAAACGTGAACAGCATTGCATTTCAGAAATTCATGAGTGGCGGATACGTTCTGTACGCTGGGAGGCTGGGACTGACACACTCTAAAAATGGAATCCATGTGAATCAAGTTGAGCAGCTTGTCTCTGAAGACGCTCATTTCATTGTTATCACATAAAGTCTTCTGTCTCTGCTCAGATGTATTAGAGAAAATGTTCCCTATGAAATTCCATATATTTGGGAGAACATTTGAGCCAAACGTCATGTTTGCATCAGTCTTACTCTGTTCAAGGGCTCCAGGCTTTAAGTAAGGTTGTTTGGCAAAAGGATCCTTTAATGTTTCTTCTTGTTCCATGCTATTTTTCACAAAATTTTTGAGCAAGATGTCACTTTCTGTGGCAGGTGTGCTGGTGATATTCTCCTCAGGTCCGTGTGTTTTGGGACATACCAGAAGCTCCGTGCATGGCTCTAATCTCCCATATGGGGCTGGTGGCACAAGTGTACCTAAGTATGAGCAAAAGATGCCAATGAATGCATCTACCCCTGCAAAGCAGCTTCCTGGAGGTGCCCCGGGAGACTTGAGCGCTGCTTACCGATTCTGATGTAAACATGGGTGTGCTGCTCAACCCAGACAGGAAAGATGGCTCCTGGAAACACCACTCGAATCTGGTCCAGAAGGTGGCTTTCAAGGGAGGAAGCGTGCAGCTCCTGGGGAAAAGTGACACCACTATAAATTAAATACTGCATATCTTTTTAACATTTGTTTGAATAAAAACCCGTATGTCTCTTTTCAATACACATATTTGAAATATAAAACACAACTAAACTCCACCACATTTAGTATTTCCTTAGAGGTGAAGGGGATGGGGCATTGTGCAAAAAACTGCTTGAGTCAGAATCTCTGTCATCTTGTAAGACAAGAACATGAACAATGGAAGGGGTTTTATTACCAGAATTTCCCAATCATCTGCTGTGAGTGGTTCCACTTCTACTTGCTGACAGGAGGACACATGGGAACAGGGTTCAAGAAAAACCTGGCAAAAGTAACGCCAAAATATTTAACTCCTTATTTTTTATATAAAAGCTCCATCTTTATTTCAACTAGAAAATTGACATCTCCTTCATTGTATGTTTTCACTACTTGGAACACCATCCTAATGACACCAGCTAATTCATAAGCAGAGGAATGCTCAGTGGATGGGAAATGGATCCCAATAGGCTCAGAGACATCAATAAGCAATGAATATTAAAAACATCTAGAGTTTATCAGGTGATAACAAACAATCCATTTTTAATACACCTTGATCACATCACCATCTTTCCATTTTTAAATCTTTATTTTTAAATCCCCAGGATTTTAGAAAATTGGAAAATTAATTCACTTGCACATAAATTTAGAACCAGCTGTAAAAAAAGGGAAAAAGTACAATAGAAAAGCAAGCCCAGCTCCTTAATTAATGGTTTCATAGGAAGCAGCCCCATCTCCATAGAACAGTTTTAGTATCATGTGAATCAGGAGGAATGGTAGAAGCTGTTGTGGCTTAGGTCATTCAGAATGCATTAAATACAGACTTCAAAAGCCAGTTTTTGCCAAAGGTTTCATATGACAAAAAAAGAAATAACACAAAAGCAATTTGCAAACAACATCTTGCAATTAATTTTCAAAGAGATATCACATTTTTTTTCCTGAGATAAAACTAGATACCTGTCCTCTGAGAGAATTACGTTAGGTCACCTTTTGTAAAAGTAACCATCTGTTTTGAAATCCTCTATGTATTTAGCTTGAAGCAATAATTAAGAGGAATATCTTTTCCCCAGCCCAGCAAAAAGAAGATCATACAGCAAACATGTAACTCCTGAATCCAAAACAATGGTGAAACTAATTAATCATGTATTTATTTGATTGTACAGATGATTATTCCCAGCAATACCTGGGTGAGGTTTTCTTAGGTTTCCTTTGTCAATTGCTTTCCTGTTGAAGGCTATTAGTTGCTAGAAATAAAAAGGGTAGATGCCTGGCTTCTCAACTACTAAATTGGAAATTTATGCAGATAGACACATAATTTCTAGAGAAAATATGTTTAAAAAGTAAACAAAGTAACATAATACACTGCTCTGAGTCACACTCTTTGATGTCTTCTATGATGTTGAACAAAATTTTGTACACAAGAGAATAGGCAAATATGAATACACAGCACAATGACACTGTGTAAGGCAGTACTTTTTTATTCTTGTTTGCTTAAGTGTCTACCTAGTTACAGAAAAAGATCCTTTGATTTTGCGATTTTAGTAGTCCCATGTCAGAAAACTCTGCCTCTTGGGCATCTCTAACTTCTGTCAATGAAAGAGTCATTTATGAGAAGTTTAACTGTGTTCAGGAGTAAGAGATGAATGTACAAAGAGTAGAGAAATAGAGAGATAGGGAGATAGACAGATGGAATAGACACATGGGCTAGACAGATAGATAGATAGATAGATAGATAGATAGATAGACAGACAGACAGATACATGCATAAGAGGTGAATACAATTATTCAAAGAGAAAGGGATATATGGTGAAGGGGCGAAAAAGGAATGAAAATTTAAACCCCAAGTAAGTTAAACAAGAATATGCAGAAAGGCAATAGCTATTTTAAAATAACAGGAACTCCAAACCAGATATTCCCATTCCAAATTTTTCAATTGCTTAAAAGTGTATTTTCTTAAAATTAATGTCACTGAAGATAGTTGTTATAGCCCTGCAAAGACATACCCAGAAGCCTATCCTAACATTGTTTAGGCATCTGTTAATGGTTTAATGAGCCAATCTTTTCATGTTCGAGACATTTCATGATAGTTAACTTTTCTCATGGGCAGATGTAAATGAAGAAACTGTCTAAATACATGAAACAAGGTCTTAGCTAACTCATGTTGCATTACCTTTTCACTTCTCTTCCAATATACTCTTTATTTAAATAGAAAACAAAGGTAGCATTTCAAACCTGCTCTCCATCTGTGATGCCAAGTTTCTCTGCCAAATGTCTGTTAATCTCTGCATTATTTTCACCCTGGTGACCTCGATGCCTGGTTTCCATCCAGCTCAAAAATACCGGCTGATGACCACAGGATATTTTCACAGCTTGGCCCTATGAGTTTTAAGGAAAGAAAATAAATTGATATAAAACCAGCTAAGTGAGATGACTATTAGACAACCTAAACCATATTTGATTAGAGAGATCAAAGGAATTAAAGCTATTATCTGGATTTTACACCTTGTTTGCACAGCTCTCACCGTAGAACTGAGTGCTGGTTTAAATTCTTAAACAGCTTTCTATTTTTATGGACTATTTTCAAGTAAGAAAATTAATTCTTTTTCCTTTCTTCTGCATGATGTGGTATCAAAAAATATTTTACAGAAATGTGTAACCGTATGTTTGCATTTTCCAAATGACGAAAATAAATAAACGTACACTTTGATTTCACAAAAATTACAACATTTACATGGTCCCCAAGACTGCTTCTGTGACATATTTAGAATAAGTCAAAAATCACATTAACTCAGACCAAAATTATTTAATCAATCTGTTTCAGAACTGCTCATGTATTTTGATGTCAAACTGAAGAACTCTTCTAATATCTTCTGCAATTAGATTCAGCTTTTGATTCCATTTATCCCCTTTTGAACATTTTTATTAATGAGAAGTATTTAAGGTGCTATTTCTATCACATTTTCTGAGACTCTATCTTTTCATTTAGCAGCTCAGGTTAAACAAAAGCAGGATGCAAAAGGACCATAACAAACAGTGTGCAGAACTACACTGTAAGACTTCAACTGCACTCTTTCTCCTCTCTCCTGACAGCAGATCTGTAAAACACTCAGAAACTGCAGCTGAAATGAAGCTCACATTTAATACTGCATTTCTTCCAATTCCACCAACCTCCTACGACTACCCCAAAGGTGAACGAGCAGGTTTTACACGCCTATGCTGTTTTCCTGTTGTGAAATGCCCTTTTTGGCCTTGAGAGCAGGAGGTTCCCCACGCGAGGGAGGCCTGCTCGGGCCATGGGGGCTGTGCCAGCTCTCCTGAGCTTTGCTTGCATCCTTCTGGGCTCATTCCTGCCCTTTTCCACCCTGTCCTGCTGGCACTCAGCTCTGCGTTCATGGCTCAAGAGGCACACAGTGTCTCTGCTAGAGTTTCCACGCGTGCAATGTTATTTACAGTGTAAGGTGACCCTCCGTCTTCAGCAGGGCTCTGCATGACGGGAGTGCCTTTCTATAGTGACATATACACTTTGCTTGTGTACAGCAAAAACGAGGATTCTGCATGGGTTTGTCAGCACTTCTCCCACCTGAATTAAACATTTACGCATTATTCGCTTAATGCTAGCAAGTTACGGGGAAAGCTGGTATGAAATAGGGAGTGATGATAGAGACGCAGATGCCCACAGTGCCAGACCACGTTGGGGAAGAAAAATTCCCGCGTTTTATTAGGAATTGATGACGATAGGGGGGCACGCAGGAGGCGAGGGAAGGAGGGGTTCCCCGATGTGAGGGGTCCCGGCTGAGTGGTGAGGGAGGGGAGGAGGGCTCCGTATCGCCATGGTGACAGATTGCGGGGGTGCGCTCACGTAATCCTCCCGGCCTGCCGGAGGTGTCCCTGCGCCCAGGCCCCGAGCGGCGCCGCCCCGGTACCTGCTGCAGGCGGAGGAGCGAGGCCAGCGCGGGGGGCAGGTGCAGGAAGCAGTCGCGGGTCCCGCTCAGGACGATGCTGGCGGCGGCGGCTCCCCCGGGGTCGTCACAGCCCCACATGGCCACTGCCACTGCCGGCCGGCCCCGCCGGCGCGCCCGCTCCGCCAGGGCACGGGCCCGCCTACCCGGGGCAGGCGCGAGGGGTAATGCTTCTGTCACCCCCGGGGCAGTGGTACAACCCACTGCCGCCCAATGCGGGCGCGGCATTTCCCCGCTGCCCGCCTCTGATTGGCTCTTTCGCTACGGACCGCGGATCCTCCTCCCCGCCGCACGGAGCGAGCCAATGGGGGCTGCGCGGCGCGGGGGGCGATGGGAAGATGGCGGCCGGCAGCAGCGGCCGCCCGGGCGCTCCGTGCCGGCACCACGCGCAGCTGGGAGCCTGCGAGTCGCGCGCCAAGTACCGCGAGGGGTGGCGGCCGCGCGCCGTGAAGGTGCTGAGGGGAGAGGGGGGGGGCGGTGTCGGGCGGAGCCGCTGCGGGTGAGGGGCTGGGGGCGGCCGGGCCCGCGCTGGGGTCTTCGGGAGGGAGAGAGAGAGAGACAGACAGACAGACAGACAGACAGACAGAGGGGCCCTGGGCCTCGCCTGCTGCGCCGCAGGAGCTTCTCGGTACTGCAGCGGAACTGCGAGACTGGGGTGTCTCTGTGTGCGCTCAGTGTGCAGCGAGCTGTAGCGGCACCTTTAAGGGCTGGCGTGAGAAAGGAAGCCCTTAGTTTGGAAAAGGCCTTTAAGATCATGAAGTCCAACCCGCATCTGTTTCCAACCTCTTGTCAGGGAGTTGCAGAGAGCGATAAGGGCTCCCTGAACCACCTGTTTTCCAAGCAGAGCCCTCGCAGCTCGCTGAGCTGCTCCTCATCAGACCTGTGACCCTCCACCAGCTCCGCTGCCCTTCTCTGGACGTGCTCCGGCACCTCAGTGTCTTGGAGAGAGGCCCTGAGCTGCACCCAGCATTTGAGGTGTGGTCTCACCGGGGCCGGAACAAGGGTTACTGCGTGCCCACACACATAAGGCACATCTCTTTCACTACCACCACCTTCCCGTAAAATGTCAAACCCTCCATACTTCATGAAGTCTCAAAGTCTTCATAAAGTTCTTTTATTCTTCCAAGTGTACACGGTGGGGCAGAGGACAGAGAGCCTTGTGCATCCACAGAGCTCTGGCCAGCACAGCATCTACCCATCACTGGGCACTGGAGGATACATGCAGGAGAAACAGTGTGGATGTCCCAAGTGTGGAAAAAACCTTATTTGAATCTTTTCATCCCGGACAAGAAAGAGGTAGAAGGACAAACCTTCCAAAAAAAAAAAAACAACAAAGAACTGCACAGTGAAAGAATCAGGTTCCTTCAATCCCTTGTTCCCAAAAGAATGTAGCTGGGAGTGTGCTGCTGCCACAAGAAAACTTATGTGACCTGCCTGTGAAGACTTTTTTATAGTGGAAGTTTGAGAGTTGATTTCCCAAGCAGTTTCTGCTTTGTCCAGAATATGTTTTTTTAAGAAGTATGTGTAACTTATGCAGTCTAAATGTTTGTGGCTTGGGTTGTTATTTTTTTTAACAAACTCAGAATAAATTTCCTTTGATCTCAGGGATGAGCTGCCTGGCTGCCTAATGTACATAGTGAGCCATTAGAGTCTGTTATGTGACAGTCACTACACAAAGCAGAAGAGAATGGTTGGTTTGGTTTTGAATCTGCTGGAAGAAGACCTTGTTTCTCTCAGCATCCAGATTTTATCTGTGTCATAAAAATGTATGCTGTTGGATCACCATGGCAAGGAGACAGCTCTGCACACACAGGATTTGCCCCAGGGAATTGTGGTAATTGTTTTTTAACTCCCTGTGTGGAAAAAAGCAGTTTTCCTCACCTGCACAACTTCTTTGCCAGTGAAGAAGACCAATTTTTCAGGGTTTTTTTCTGTATTTTGGCAGTACCTCCTATGAACTGGTTACTAGTACATCTTGCATGGAAGTTGGCCAGAGACATAAGAGATTTTACTCAGCAATTGGCAGTAGTACTCTTACCTTGTGCAAGGTAAAAAGCCAAGTCTCATCTGTGTTTTACTATGCATGAGAGGCACGAGTTCAGCTCTTGCTCAGTGAGGAAGAGGTCCCAAATAACCATGCATTTTACTGCCCTGCAAAACAGAGTACACAGGGGTTTTCAGCATCCTGAGAGGATTTGCAGAAAAACTGAAAACATGGAGAAAATGCGTGCCTTTTGTCATAAAGCAAGAAAGGGAATGTTTTTGATTAGTCTTTGTTTTTATTTTTTTCAGGTTTACACTATCAACTTGGAATCTCGCTATATACTGGTACAAGGAGTTCCTGCATTAGGTGTTATGAAGGAATTAGTGGAACAATTTGCATTATATGGTGCCATTGAGGAATATCATGCTCTAGATGAATATCCAGCAGAGCAGTTTACTGAAGTGTACCTTATAAAATTCAAAAAACTGCAATGTGCAAGGTATTGGATAGGGCAATATCTGCCTCTTGCTGTCTTAATCTTTCACACCTTCTGTGCTTGGCAATGTGTTAAGTTTCTAGAGAGTTGGAGTAAAATCCTCAGTTTTGTTGACAGACTTTAATTCCCTTCAGGGTGGCCAAGAAAAAAATGGATGAACGAAGTTTCTTTGGTAGTTTGCTGCACGTGTGCTATGCTCCAGAATTTGAAACAGTCCAAGAAACCAGAGAGAAGTTGCAGGATAGAAGAAAGTATATAGCAAAAGCAACAAATCAAAGAGGTTTGTGGTTAAATTTCCTATAGAATCCTGACTAAATTTCCTCTAAAATTTTAATGTTCTTCAGAACTGGGTGGGGTTTTGGCTAAAGTGCCTGTTAAAGAAAACACTTTTTACCTACCTCTTTTAAAGCTGCTATAGTGTGTTGATAGTGGCCAGATGCCAGTCACCCACCAAAGCTGCTCACTCATTGCCCTCCACAAACTGGACAGAGGAGAGAAAATTTAACAAATGGTTCATGGGTTGACATAAGAACCAGGAGAGAGATTGCTCATCAAATACCATCAAGGCAAAACAGGCTCTACTTGGAGACATATAAAGTGAATTTATTACTAACAAAATCAGAGCAGGATAATGAGAAGTAAAATAAGCCCTTATAAACACCTTCCTCCCTTCTCAGCTCTACCCCCTACCCCAGCAGTGCAAGGGGACAGTGAATGGGAGTTGTGGTCAGTTCATGACCCATGGCTTCTGCTGCTGCTCAAGGAGAGGAGTCGTTCCCCTGCTGCACCGTGGGGTGGCACAGGAGACAGTTCTCTGTGAACCTCTCCAACGTGAGCTCATCTCATGAGCAGCAGCTTCCTGTGACTGCTGCAGTGTGGGTCCATCCCATGGGGAACAGCTCCCTGTGACTGCTGCAGTGTGAGCCCATCCCATGGGGAACAGCCCTCCCAGGCTGCTGCAGTGTGAGTCCATCCCACGGGAACAGCTCCCTGTGACTGCTGCAGTGTGAGTCCATCCCACGGGAACAGCCCCCTGTGACTGCTGCAGTGTGAGTCCATCCCACGGGAACAGCCCCCTGTGACTGCTGCAGTGTGAGCCCATCCCATGGGAACAGCCCTCCCAGGCTGCTGCAGTGTGGGTCACTCCTCCACGGGGTGCAGCCCTTCAAGGACAGGCTGCTCCAGCCTGGGAGCAGGGCCCCTCTCCAGGATCACAGCCTCCTCCCAGGCATCCCCGTGCCCCTCCTGGGGCTCCTGCAGGGGCTGTGGTGGATCCCTGCATCCCACGGCCTCCATGGGCTGCAGGGGCACGGCTGCTGCCCCCGGCCTGCCCCACGGCCTGAGGGGAATCTCGGCCCCGGCGCCTGGAGCAGCTCCTGCCCCTCCTGCGCTGCCCTCGGGCTCTGCAGGGCCGCTCCTCTCACGTTCTCGCTCTGCTCTTCTCTGGCCGTAGTCACAACTGGGCACCCACTGCTTGTTTATTTTCCTCCTTAAATCTGTTACCACAGAGGTGTTACCGCCATTTCCAATCGGCCTGGCCTTGCCCAGCAGCACATCCATCTTTGGAGCCACCAGGGATTGGCTCTGCTGGACATGTTGGAAGCTTCTGGCAGCTTCTCAAAAAACCCGACCCTGTAGCCCCCCCACTACAGAAAACCAGGCCATGCAAACCCAATACAGATGCATTTTAAGTATGTTTACAGGGAGACATCTCTCAGTATGTAGAGAACTATATCCTTTTCAAATTATTTTTTTTGGCTTTGATTAAGACTAAAATAATGAAATTATTAAGCTTTGATAATTAAGTATTTCCTTCACTTTTTGTTTTCTTTCAAAATGTTACCAGAAATTTAAAGCACTGGCAGGAAATTTGGGATTTCACCCTTGTTCCAGCCTCCTCAGGCATGCCAAAGGGACAGTTTTGGAAGGAATATGACTATACCAAGACCTTAAAAAAAATTCTCCAGCCCACATCTTTGCACTGGGGAAATGTTAAGAATGGACTGTGTTTAGAAAGGCTCCTGCACCACAGAGTTCCCAGTCAGCTCTGAAGGCTGGGCAAGCTGAGGAATAAGCAAATTGCTGAGCACGAGCTTCTCCTTTCTTGTGCTCACATACTTGGCTATCATTATTCATTGTCTGAGGATTTCTAAAGGGAGTAAACCCACTGATTTTTAACATCAAAACACCTGGGTTTTTTAAATGCTATAAACCAGCAAAGGCACTAGACTGGAAAACTGGTTTGAAAGTTGAATTTGTTATATTTGAAACTTAAAAATAATCACAGAAAGGTAGTTGGGAATTAAATATCACTGGTATTTTTTCTGCATTTATATCAAAAGTTTTGTTCTTGGGTGTTAGAACTAATAATTACATGAAATAGTGAAGGTGCTTCTTTTTTGTTGTTTTAAAGATTGCTTTATGTTAAAGAAAGTAGAAGGCCCTAAGAAGACAGCCTCAAATAACTCTGAGCATGACTGCCCATGGAGTACATCAGGATCAAGTATAGCCAGTAACTGGGATCCGTCCTGCTTTACAAGTTCTCCTGGGGTACCCCACAACACAGCATATCCAGCTGGGAATCAGAATCAGAGCCTGTTAACACCTCCACACTATGCTAACAATTGTGCTGAAATTTCTGGGTACTTTGGTGAAAGCACATCTTTAACTCCAAGTGTCCATCCAGGAGTGTGCACTCCACCAGCTTCCTCAGTGCAGCACAGAAAGGTTCCAGCTTGCAATGGAATTGACAGGTTTATGCCTCGTACAACTCACCTGCAAGAACGTAAGAGGAAGAGAGAAGAAGGTAACAAGTTTTCCCTCATTGGAACAAGTGAGGACAATACTGAAGTTGTTATTGGTCCACAACTACCAGAAATACCTAAAGTGGATATGGATGATAAGTCTTTGAATACTTCAGCTACATTAATTCGAAATAAACTGAAAGAGGTATGGGTTCTTAAAGTTCTGATAGATCAAACATAGGTGCTTGTTATACATAAAAATAGTGACTATCTGATAGCTTTATTCAGCATTTACTCATTATCGGTTTATCTGCCACTTAAAGCTAGTGCTCTTACTATTTAACTTCTCCACAATCTAGAATATTGCAGGCAATTCCACTCCAGACCTCTTACACTACACTTGAGAAAGTGTAAATGTCAGTGCATGTTCTTATGTGATTTTTCGTAAACCACTTTTTTTTTCCCCATGTGAAAGCATGATAATTTTGCAGGTAGTCCTCCTCACTCCAGTGTGCTACTTGTATCTGGTTTCTGAAAGGAAAAGAATGGAAGTCAGAGTTCAATGTAATGTTGCTCCAACATTTCTTATGCCATTAAAAGCTGTACAGAATCATTAATTCCATGCTGAGAAGCATGTGCTAAGCTGTGTACCCTTTTATGGAGAATATTAATCAATTAGCAGGTCAGACATTCCTGATACAACATTTCATTAAGATACGAAAATGCTCCCTTGACTGACTAGATTGATTTGAAAGTGTGTGTCTAATAAGTAAGCACCCTTTATATTAAATACCTTCCTAAAATACATGTCAAAATGCATGTTTCTGCTTTTCCTTTGCTTCCTGAAATACCTGAGTTTATAAAGCACATTAAACCTTGCGTAAAAACACCTGGTAGGAAGAAGGGAGATGGCATATATAATACTGTATCACTGACTATCTGAAATCAGTTTGTGTAGTTCAATACAAAAATGGTAGTGCTGAATCTCCTGAGTTTCACATCTCTTGTGTTTAATGCTGCCTTTGGTGTTACTTTCTTCCTCTAGTCAGCAGGAAAATTCAATACAAGTGTGATGATAGTAATAAATGGCTCCCAGTACTCAAATCTTGGAGATGTGGCCTTACTCTAAAATGAGCATTAAAAAAGTAATGGTTACAGGTTACTAAATTTTTTTCTCCTCCAATTTAGGTAGCAGATTCTGTTTCAACATCTATGAAAAAGCCAGAGAGCAGCTCGCCCAAACCAGTTGTAAAGCAGAGAAGACGAATATAGATACTGCTGGCAGCATCTTCCAACAGTCCTTTTGTAAAGAATATAGTTTAAAATATGTATTTTTTTATTTAAAAAATAAAACTTTCTTTATACTGTGTTTCCCAGTGATTCCTTGTTTAAAATGGTGTCAGTTTTGTTACTTGGAATGAAGAAACCAATGTACTGTATTATTGTTGCAGTGTTGTCCTGTGTACCTCATATTGTAACATATTTTATAATATGAACAGAATATATCAATATAACAGAAGAACTCTATTTAGCCAGAGTAACAGAAGTAAATTCATTTATTCAACAGCTTTAACAGCAAAGGAATACTGAAGCTTAGGAGCAACTTGAAATATGACTGTTTTTACTGTATGATGAAGAGTGGCGAAGACCAAGACCCTTTTTAACAGTATTCAGCAGTGGAGTTACAACTTGGAGTTACTTTTTAGGAACCTCCCGGAAAATTTTCTGTTCAAATGACATAGTGCTCTGTTAAAAAAAAACAAAACCCAAAAAACAAAACCAGCAAGTTAATTTTCAGTTAACTAAAGGATTTCTATTTAGTCAGAAAAGGTACTGAACTGAAAGGTATGAACTGAAATGTGTATGCAGTGAAGACCCTCTCTTGCTTTTGAGCTTAGAAAACGTAAATCCATAGCATTAATGGTGTCATCCCTGACAGCCCAGCCAGAATTCAAAGTTGTAGCTGAAGGAGAAATTAAAATTTTAACTGCTCAGCAATAGGGGTATATCACCAAGGAATGATCTGGCATGGAGAGCAAGAAGGCCCAGCTGCAGAATGAGATAAACTGGATGAAAACAGGAATGCTAGAGACTGGGATGCCTGTACAGGACTGAAATTTCCCTTAGTGATGAGATTAATATCTGCAGCATTCTGTTGCAACAACCTGGAGTGGGAGTGCTCAGGGGCCACCTTTGGACAGCAGAACTGGCACTGAGAGGATGAACCCAATATTGGCCTAAGATATCCTGACATTCACAGGATTGGTGCAAGTGTCTGTAAGGAATTGGCTTGTGCAGTTTTTTTTTGAACCCAAGTTTAATGTACCTTTAAGTCAGGCAAACATGGTCCAAAGGCTTCTAAGAGAAGGTTTTCATCTCTGACTGCTTTTTCAAAGTCCGTAAAAGAAAGCTTGCCATCACGATCATGGTCCTGCAAAAGGAAGGGAACACTTCAGCAGAGGATTATTACTTGTAGTTTTGTTTAACAGATGTTTAAAGAACTTGGATTCTATTTTTAGTCAGATTTGCAAATTGGGGGTCGTCAGTTTATGCTCAGAAAAGATTAGAGTGACTTGCCTCCACCTAAGGCAAAGAGGGTGGGATTGAAAAATTGAAAAGATGGGCTTAAATAAAAGGAATTGGGATATAACCCCTGGTTTCAAGTGAAAACTTTTGACCGCCATGATGGGAGGGGAGAGTATATATCTTGATTTGATTAAAATATTGACAGACAATCCCTGGCTGCTCTGATATTCTAGATTAAGCACTGTAAGACAAGCTTCACTTTAATAACCTTGAGTTTAGTAATCTAATAGTATACATACAAATAAATTGGATAAAGACATTTCATGATCAGTTGATAAAACACAAATGTACTTAAAAATGAAGTTACTGCAGATGCCTGTACTGATAGAATAAATGCAGCTTACACTTTTGAGTTTTCCACTTCTGTCTGGGCTTTTGCTTTGACTGTGCATGCACAGATGTATATGCACATACACACATGCTAGTTTATACATAAACTTTATAGTACATTCATGTACTAAATTAATGATTTCATATGAGAATACTGGGCTGGGACTTATTAGACCTGGATTATATTTCTGGCTTTCCTCGGGAGACTTGCAGAATCCCACTGTAAGTAAGACACCTTATTTTGTTACCTCATGGAAAGGTTTTAAGTATCAATTAGTGAATGTTTGAAAGACTCTCAAGTATCACAATAAGTAAGTACTTGCCATTTTCTTCAGTGCTATGTCTACCAAGTCCTTAACTACTTCATCAGGCTCTTCATCTCCTGGTTGTATGAGAAGGCTGTGTTTCAGCATTTCAAACATTTCCTTTTTTGAAATGTATCCATCACCATTCAGGTCATAAATGGCAAAACAGTCTTGAAATACAAATAAATTTCAAGTTGGTTACAAACTACAAACATAGCATTCAAGCTGTTACCTACAGACAAAAATTGTGAACTGTACATTATCAACTGAGCCAAATTTATCGTATATATGCTGAAACATTCCTGGCAAGCACTTGTGACAGACAGCACTGCATCACTATGCACTAGTATCGTCTATGGTGCTTACAGCAGGAATGCCTGTTTTACTGTTTGTGGTTTACTAACACACTGAATTACAACCTGGGCACACATCCTAATGCTGTGACACCCCTGACCCCTTTCCAGATGAATTTATATAATGCAGTAGGATTGCTAATGCTGCAACCTAGGAACTATGGAAACAACATGCTGTCATTCTCCTTTTTCTTTGTTTTTTTTTTCACCCCACATGCCCTATTTTTTCCCCTGCTGCTTAAAATTCTAGAGTTCTTGCTATTTTTTCTCCTCCATCTTTCTCTGTCATTACTGTGGAGGCTCTCATTACCATCTTACAGTTTTTCCATCTGTGCTTCCAACCTGAAGAATTGCTGGAGCTAATGCAACTGCTACTGTGTCCCCACTGTGCCAGTAAATCAATGTTGGCACTGGTCTTGCTTGGCTCAAGACTATTAGTTAGCCAAAACCACACTAGAGATTCATCTGCTTCTTTCTAATTTTGTGTGTGAATACAAAAACATGTATTTTGTTGAAAATGTATGCTGTAGAATAAACTTCGGTTTAAATGCAAGATTTTGTAAGCAAGAAAAAAAGGTGGTGGCTGTGGTAACAGCAGTTTACACAGAAAAAAACTCTCAGAGAAGCCATTTCAGAACTCAGTTTCATTGCATTAAACGATACAGAAGAAAAATTTTCCATTACCAAATACTTTGTAAGAGTAGCTACTAACTTATAACAAAAGCAATGTGTTATTTGTTATGAATTTAATCATTACTACTAAATATTTGCATACAGATCAATCTTACATTTCATCTTCTCTTCCAGTGTCCCCCGAAGTAACGGTGCTAAGCCTTCCACCCATTCCTCCACAGTGATGCGCCCAGTCTTGTCTTTATCAAAAATGATGAACACTAGAAGTGTATCAGACACATTTCAAATGTATATGATAGGGAAACACAAAAAAGCAATGTTCTCTTAAATTCAGTGAAATTATAAATTATCTTAAGATGTTTGTCTGCTTTCACCAAGGTAAGATTACCATTCTTGACTCTAAGATGTAACAATGAAAGGGATTCTGTCCCTCAGTTTACTGATTCTCCACTCCAGAATCCTGCCTGCTAAGATTTTGTCCAATCTGTAACCTTCCTGACTTAAACAAATACAGGAAGTATGCATCCATGCAGATGTAAAGCAAATAAATTTAAAATAAGGGATAATTCTGCATAGAGATTAAGATTTAAATTACTAGTTTTGTCTAGGAAAATCTTGGACAAAGTAATCCTAGAAACAATATATATTAAATCTACAAAGAAAAATAACCTCTTTTCTGTCGTGTAACAAAATATTTTTCTTTTCCATTCTCTAAGCAACTTTCAATCTCACAGCTTCACTATTCATACAGCCTGTAATATCGTAATTCAAAACCAAGGATTTCAAAGCATCCACTAGCATCTGTAATAATTTGTATTTTAGAATATTAATTAGTAGCTTGGCTGAAGGAACATCTCTCCATGCAGAGCCAAGCATTTTTGAATTAGAAGACAATAGGTTTGCTTTTGCAAACTGAAATCAGCTCCTTTTCATGTAAGCATTAAAGTAATTTTTAAGAATGTGTAAAGTAATGTGAAGTATCTTCCAAGACACACTTACCATGCTGCATAAAATTGCAAGAAGTTTTTATTTTATGGCATGTAAGCAGCTCTCCTGCTAGAGACATAGATAAAGTTGAACCAAGGGCTGGCTGTTGGCAGCTCAAGACTGAAAGAAGGGCAGACTCATGCCGGCTCTGCATACTCCTCTAGACACCTCTGCATCAGAGATCATTCCTTCAACTTTCACAGTGACTCCAAACATGTCCCTTGTTACCAATCTGTGAAATCACTGTATCTTCAAGGGGTTATTTGGCTCATTACTCTCACCTCCTTGTACTATCTGCCCAGGCCCTTCAATGCTGTTCACAGAGCCTCCATTCCCAGTTACCCGCTGTTATCAGAATGCTTTCCCGGGACTTCCAGGCCTGAGCTAGAGCTGTCGCCCAGCAGCGACCGCAGCTCCCACTGGGACCACCGGAGAAAAGAGGAAAGTGACACTGCCCTCCTCCGTCACACTACAGAGGCTGCGACACAAACAGCTACAGGGCAGCACAACACCCTCTGGCTGCTCTGCCTCGAACTAGAGCGTGAGCTCTCCAAAACTAAGGGGAAACTGTAACGCATAAAGAAAGAAAAGATGCCATTTTCCCAACAGCTCCTTTGCTGTCCTGGGACGAGACGGCGCTGTTTGGTACGGACGCACTCGTCGGGTCAGCAGCGCCATCCCAACCCCCGCCCGGCGCTCAGCGCTGCGTGCCCGCCTCACCTCGGTCCAGCACCGTGTCATCCGTCATGCCAAAGTAGTTGTACAGCGTGTCTCGGAACACAGTGCGGTCGAAGCCGGCCCCAGCAAACTGGCGACTGGCCTTGGCCACTAGCGTGTCGTAGAGCTTGATCAGACATTCCACTTCGCTTTTGGTAACTGCCCGGTCCAAACACAAGCAAACACAGGTTGTAAGTTAAGCTGGTAAAACACGAGGCAGGCACAGAACACGCCAGGGCCGTGACACCAACAGCACCCCCCGGTCCCAACCGCTGTTCCTAAGGGGGCGCCGGGAAAGCGCCTCCCATGGGAGGCGAACGGGGCCATGCAGGATGAGCACGGGAACACCGGGGGGCGACGGGCGGCTCCTGCAGCCCGGGGAGACTCACAGTGCTTGGCGGATCGGGTCAGCGAGTCCACCAGGAGCTTTCTCCCCTTCGGGCTCATGGCGGCCCGGAGCCGCTCCCGCCGCCGCTGCCCTGGCAACGCGGGGGGGCGGCCGCGGCCTGGCGGTGCCGCTGGGCCGCACGGGCGGGTCGGGCATAAACACACACACGGGCACAACAGAGATCGAGTGCTAACACGCAGTCAAAAAAACTGCAGTCGTAAAAAATAAAAGAATTGCATTTCAAATGTCTAAAAATATTTGTGGGGAAAACCAGCTAAAAGTTATAACTTACAATAGTGCTTGTTCATCTGCTGTCAGAAGGCGAAAATACATTAAACCACTCTAACTGCGACATTGCTCATTTTCTACTTTGTCCCTCTGCTGAAACTTGGAACGTGGGTGTAGGTGCCACCCCAAACCCCCATCACTGTCTCACGACCTCGGCGTGGGCACATGGGAAAAGCTGAAAGGCTGAGAACAGCCTCCACCTTTCCTTCAGGAAAAAGGACATGCAAGAGCCGACTCAACGTATTTGTTAATGTATTGCAAACTGAAGCAGTTCCCTTTCAGTACTAAAGCAGCTTTGTTGGGAACTGACAAAGCCCATAAGCCCCTTAAGTGGCTATACCTTCTTCCCGAGTATGACAGCAGCACTACAAGCCTGCAGATGGGCAGAACAGATAGTTACACTCACACTATTAAATTACACACAATTACATACCAGCTTAGGTATTTGGAAGACTGGGTCTCATTTCCATTTTTATTTCTTTCTGTGGCAGGTGGTTGTGTAAAAGTCAAAAAAGGCATTACACAGGACAGAGCATTTATGCTATGGTTCATTACAGGTTCTTTTACCAAAACTGCAACACCACAATTTAAAACAACCCCAACAAAACTAAACACAAGCCCCAAATCAAACCCCTCTGTTCACTGCATATCACCTTTATTTTAACCTCACTGACAAGAGTGTTTAGAATTGGTAACATCAAGCCCAAGAGTATAAAATAGTTGATGAAAATATTACTATTGTTTAGATGCACATTGCTGCAACTCAATGGCTGTATTTTCCCAAGAACTTGAAGACAATTTCTCTGTACAATGGCAATATGAAATCACCTTTCTTCCTCAGATTTTAGTTATGGTTTGCAGATTAATAATCAATGTCTTGAAAGTCCTGAAATTCTTGGCAACACAACATTTGAAACATTGTATGCAATAGAGGTAAGTTCTAAGTTAGCACCTGTGCAATGGAAAAAAGGGGTAAATCAAAAATACAATCTATATCTGACTACCTGGGATGGATCGGCATTTGTTAAAGGCTAACAGAAGGCCCAGCAATCAGTATTTCAATGGAGGATGTAGTGAGAATTTCACGTAAACTAAAATCAAATGGTTGCTCATGTTTTCTTATGGGCACATTTAATTTAAAAAAGCTTTTTTTCAGTTATCTAAAGCAACTAAACTAAAGTAAAACAACTTTATGAGTTAGGTCAACATTCTGTAGCCCTCAAGTACAAAAATATAAATACAAACTGTTTAAACAGTATCTTTAATGAGATTCTGGCAGTAGTTTTTTTATCTAACAAGACACGTCACATAACAGATCTGCCACTGAACTTGCTCAGAGTAAATCAGCTTCAATATGAAGCTGTTAAGGTATCAAAACCTTGCTTTTTACATGCTAAATAACTTCAGCAAGTGTGCACTTAAACACAGCAATGAACTTAACTATAACTAAATACATACATGAAAATCTGCATGTGAAATGTAATTCATAGAACTGGTTACAACAAATGATTAGCTGCATTTTGTTAATTTAAAAATGGTACAAATCATGCAAAACAATTCTAAAGATAATGCAAAGAAAGCTACCAGTGTTTGCAAGAAGTTTTCAATTAAACCAAAATTACATTAAATGAAATATGCGTATTTACTAGCAAAGGTCTATCGCTATTTTGAAAAAGCAGAGGTAAAATTTTCAGGTTTTGACTGTCAGTTATCTGCAAAATGTCATTGCTCTTGCTTAATGCAGAAGCACATGCTTGGAAGCTCAAAACTGCTCATTCAGAAAAGTCTGCTGGCAATAGCTCTAGCTTCCCAGGAATGCAGAGATGCATGGATTAAAAGTAGCAAAGATTTGCAAGAATCAAAGGCAAAGGCACCCTATTCAGGTAGCCAAGATGGCAGCATTCCCTTTCTCATAAGCATGGAGACGGTAATGGGGCAGATAATACACATTTCTACAAAGGCAGCCTTTTAAATGTTATCATTAATTTTCCATTAGCAGACACCAGCTTGTAATTTATGCATAATATTAACCTGCAGGATGAACTTGGGATTTAATTTGTCCTGATTTACAAATAAAGACTTTGACTAATGCTTTAAAAGACTATTTTTACTATCTAAAAAGTTTAACTCTTATTTTCCAATATTTTACACCTCAGGTGGCCTACCTTCTCATATTGTCTCAAACATCTAACACTGCTTACTGGAATCTTATCAAAGTTGTACCTCGTGTATTAAGCAGCAGGCAATAACAATGGTCTTTCCCAGCACAGCTGCATCTGGCCGGCTACTGAGAGATTAGGAATATTTCTAAAACACAGGAAAACTCATGCAGTTTGGTAAAGTTTGCTGTCATTTCACAGTTTAAGTTTCCTTTAGTCATTGCACTTCTGTTGATAGTCTCCGGTTGTTTTAAAATATTATTCTGAATCTGAATTTGAACCAGCAGTCTTCTTTTTCTTCTTTTTACCATGTTTCTTGTGCTTCTTTCTCTTTTTTGTTTTATCCTAAAAAAAAAAAAACAACCACAAACCAAAGTTATTGTATAATATAACTGCCATCTATTACATTCTGCTAATGCAAAATGAGAACCCAGAAAGGATATCTTTTGAAAGACATTTCAAAAGAGATTTCTACAGAAGCCTATTCAGAAATCACAAAAAGAAATACTTTACCTGGCAGTTTGCACTATTATGAGCAGTCTTCAATTTAAATTTATCTCCACCATGGTATGGCTATTTTACACCTCTGATCACTGTCACTATTACATTTAATATTTTAAATTATTTTCAGAGCATTATAGATTACTGAGAAAGTAATAAGGAAGTGTTGACCAGTAGTGACAGATTTGGGAATAACTAGGATCTTTACAGATTTTAAAGTAAGTGCTTAAGTTCACTGTGTAAAATTAAATAGCTCAACTGCACTTGGCTAGACTATCACTTGTACCTGGTTTAAAATAAAACAATTATGATCTCAGCTGTAAATGTACATACACTCAAATTAACCCTACTGGATTCAGTCCTAAAGGTAGTACACTGATCACTGTAATATGGAAACTCAAAGATGCAATCTTGTCTTTTTGAAAGCAGAATTTCAACTGAAATTCTCAAATGTGGCATTGCATAAACGAAACAATCCGTATTAAAGCTTTGTTCTATACATATTCCTTACACATAAAAATCTTTTATGAAAAGACCAAAAGCAATCACTAGAAATGTTATGGCAAACAGTTCATATGAGTCTGAAAAAACAAGCAAGTTCCACGGAAAAATGTGTACTGAGTATCACTGATACTCCTATGCCTGTATTTTTAGGTGACTAATGTAGACCTTCCCTTTGTCCTATCTCATGTGGACAACTGAGATGCCTGATAAGGAACACTGCTGCTGACAGGGGAGACAGATACAAAGACATCTCAAGTGGGCATTTAGGATCCCAAACCCACTATACTCCTAACTGAGGAACCTCAGGTACACGTGCTAAATCTGGATTCCGTATAAATCACTGCTGAACCTTCCTCTCGCTTTCACCAATGGATACAAAGAAAAAATACTGAGAAAAGTAGCCAATTGCTGGCAGCATTTTTTCTGGTTGGGAGAAGAGTTATAATGATATAGATGCTGCAGCAAGTTTGTCCTAAGGCCCTTTCCATGGTGGCAGAGAAGGCTTAGCAAGGAATTACACACAATGCTAATGAAGGAACAGCCATGATGTCTGTCTGTGTGGCAAATTGCTCCCCTGTTTGATACCACACAGCTATTAGTAGTTCTAAGCCGCTGATACAGAATAAAATATGTTCTACAGTGTTAAAGTTGTATAAATCTAAAATCACATATAGGTAAAAGAGTGGCAAATTCTTCTTTAATTCAACAACAGAGAAAGTGACTTCGGCAAGTAAATAGAGAAACTTTTAATTTAGATGTAACAGAAGACTATTTGTATTTGTGAAAAATATGAAACTGGAAATTGACCAAGTACAGAGTATTTATATCCTAAAACTACAGAATGAGTAAGAGGGATACTTGCTGTTTTCTCTTTTTCGTCATTGCTTTTCTTCTTTTTCGCTTGCACCTAAAGAAAATGAAACCAAATGTAGTATCCATAAAAAGTTGATTCTCAAGAAAATTAATTCAAAATTACTTGCAGGTGATAGAAGCTAGACTAAACAATCCTTAGAAGTTTATTTTAAAAGGAAAAATACAAACAACTTTGAGTGCACTGCACTCTTCAATTCACTTGTACAGTGCAGAACACTTTCAACAATGTATTAAATCTAAGCTAGTTCATTGATTTGCTCATGAATCACTAAGCTACAAACACTGTAACATCTGAAACTGAGGATTCACACTGACCTCCTCTGTCTGGTCCGATTCAGATACAGATTCTGACGATAAAGGAGCATCACCACGATCTGCTTTCTTCCTTTTCCTGTGGTGATTTTTACCGTCCTACACAAAATAATACATTTGTGAGTCAAGTCAGACTTTTCACATTTTATAAAACTTATGCTTAAAATATAAGATTGAAATATCACCTCTAAGTTGTGAAATATTTTAAAATATTATTGACATTAAACTAATTCCATCACCATCCTCAAATTACCATACCAAACTGTTAAAATCGACTTTTAGTGAAAATAATAATTTTCTGGATATTCCTTTTCCTTGTTACCTAGATCCAGCAACTGTCTAAAAGCAAGAAGAATAATAACAATCTCTTATTTTAAATAATAACACATGGAGGAGTAAGCATTGGAAAACAAAACATTTCACCACTTTTAAGTAACTAGTAACTGAAGATGTCTCAATATATAATAAAAACACTTTAGCTTCAGACTCTTGCTTTGTTCATGAAAGAAAAATTTACCTCTGTATTTGTGTTGAACCAGAACAAGCTGTCCCTGCTAGCTGTACTTTCAACACATCATATTTCACTCCAGTGCATTTAAAAGATAAGTTTTTCAAAATCCTGATGCTATGTGAGATTGTTCTGATGAGCTACTTATCTGTTCCCTGCACTTCTCCTTTGCTCTGGACAAGGCAATGTGTTCCTGAGACTGAAGGTACTTTCTCTCACTCAGTTTCTAAGACCAGAAACTTCTGAAAAAATCTCATGATCAAGTACAGGATGCAGCCCATCTGACACATGGGGCATCTGCAGGTAGGGGAAGAAAGACCTCTAGTCCCCAAGTGCCCTTTCATTTCAGAGGATGTGTGAAAGTAGGGCTACAGTAAGGGACCATGGTAGATACTTGGTCTTCAAACAGAAGCCATTCAAAAGGATGAGATGGGAAATGAACACTGTAAAATAGAAGCAGGAGCAAGGGGGGAAATCAGTACATTTGCCTTAGGCAATGGAGATTTTGTACATCCACATCAATACTATTGACCACAGCAGGAGAGGCCAGCGTGGTAAGAAAGAAAGGTAACTGGAGAGAAAGACTAGAGTGGACTCTGAAAGCATTTTTGGTTTATCCACAGTGTACAAATAACTAAAACTGATGTCAATAGATTGTTTATATTAAAGCTAATGGATGAGTGTACAAAATGGTGTGGTGGTGGGTAGGAAAGAGGATTTTCATGCTTAGAAAAATGACAGAATAAGGTAATTTTTCTTAAGTTAATATATTTTTCTTCTCTTTGAAGCTGTCATGAGTATACTATCTATAATTATTACTACATTTAGATAAAGAGGTTCTCTGCTTATATTTCTAAATTTACAATAGCAAGTCAATAACCTACCAGATGTGCCACTGAAAATATAATCACACACATTTTTGGCTCAATGTGACAGCTAAAGATAAGCCCCAAAACACTAAGGATGCAGCTGATCTGCTATAGCAGATTAGATACAGTTCTACTTTACCTTTGTAACAAGAACAGATCCAGTGGTTTTCATACAATAATTACTAAACCAGGAACTGAATCCAACTAAACCTCTACTTCAAATTGGGTGCACTGAATACCTTCTGACTGTGTGGGTTTGGACAGAAAATTTCCACAGATGTAAAGTGAGGCATTCAATATTAAAAAAAGAAATATCTATTATGTATGCAACATGCAGTTCTGATTGAAAGATTTGAAGAATAAAAATACCTTCTCTTTTTCACAGTCTTCCTTTGACCTCTTCTTTTTTGTGCTATCCTAAATAGAAAGGACAACAAATCACAACAAAATCATTTCATGAAAAAAGAAGAAATCTCCAAACAGTCTGACCAATAGTCTTTTTATGTCTGTTGAAGGTAATTCAAGATTCTTGCTACCTTGCAGTTGACTGAAGAATAATAGAAAAAGCGTAATTTTGATGCAGCTGCTAATCTCCTGATCCAGTAGCATGAGAAGGTCTGTATGGAATGAGGTAACAGCATCCTTGCAGGACACTTAGAGAAGCCTCTGGGAACCAGCTGTCACTGCTGTACCCATGTATAACATGTAACAGTTGGGAATCTTTTTTCATTTTCCATGTCCATCTCTGTTGATCAGACCAGGTTAAGCCGGTGTTTTCCCAGAATTTTTTGCAGTAAGGACATCTCTGGGTCTCTTTACATAGCAGAAGTTTTTAACCTCCCATTAGCACAAATTCATTCAGGTGTCCGCAAACAGTCATTTGTTACAATTTATATCCCACCAAATTAAGTATTCCAGTGAAAGCCTGCGATAAAGTCTACACAAAGAATCTTAAAAACTCACTGTGTTAATATTTAAGCAAGAAGTACAGTAACTATGCACTGTAATACAGAAAAATGCTAACATAACAGAACAAGCTGCCTTGTATATTTTCACCTTTTTGTTCATTCAGTAAGCCCATGTATCTACATTGCTATACTTCAGAAAAGGAAAAAGAAAACTTCAATTCAATATGCATTTGGGAAAGGCTCAGCTGTCCAACAGGAAAGTACTTAGATATTTAGAAAGGCAATGTTCTGGCCACTGCTATCCAGCAATACCTGCATTTTCAGATATGGTATTCAATTACATTCCATATTCAGAAGACATTTTAAGTATTAATTAATTATAAAAACTAATTATTTGAGCAGCAAAAAAGCTGCTTATGTCTGGATTCAGAAAAATGACTACAAATCGCTGGAATAAAGCCCATTCATTTTCTAAAGATCCAATTACTTCCACTAGGCATGTGGCCAGTGGAGGCAAATTCCACACGGCATGTGGGAGATACAAGGGCAGCTCAAGCCCTGTGAGAACACATGGCTCTAAACGTGGAAGATGAAAATCCATATCAATATGCTAAAGTCAGAAATCTTTATGGTTTTATAACACCAACCAAGAAAACTTTCCAAGAGCAGCACATCTGCATATTTACCTTGCTGTCTGACTCAGATTCTGAAGTTGTGCTTGCTGAAGATTTCCGTGAGGAGCGATACTTCTTCTTCCTTCTTTTCTTCCCTTGCTTTTTATCCTATCCATAAATATTGTAAAAAAAGAAGGAAAAACACAAACTTGAATTTATTCTCACTAGAATTAAAGGTTTACATTAAATGTAAAGAAAAGGAAACATCAAATTCCTACACGTTACAATGTTCTCATGAGGAATAAAAATTGATTCTTTTCATGGAGGACCTTCATGACTCTTCTGCATTGAATAAATGTAAACTAGTGAAAAATCCAGATTTTCTAGATTCTGTTTATTATTGAGATGTATGTGCAGAATCTGATTATCTGTAACGAAGATTTTTGCTAGAAAGTAAAAATGGTATTTTTGCATTTTATTGATTAGATAGGGGATTCTATTAGAAAAGCAATTCAGTGTTAAAATGGATCCAGTTTACAAGCCAGGATGCAAAAATCTGTAGTGTTCATACAGAAACTATTAACCAGATACATATGTCTAAAATTAATTCCTTTATTATATATACCAATTTCATAAAAACTAAATGGTTTTATCCAAATCAGCCCCTCAAAATATTCTAAAACATATTATCAAAATCTCTGTTAAATAAACCTCATGAACAACACATGATAGATTCCAGTAGGTTAGCTCTTACCTCATCTTCTGAATCAGATGAACTGCTGGAAGAATCAGAGCTTGATGAAGAAGAGGAAGATGAAGACAACTTGACCAAATACAACAAAAAGTGAAGCTTGTGAGATGCAGCATTTTGTCTGGCAAATACTCAAAAGCCTATCCAAACACTCCCTTTAAAATGTCTTCATTTTCAAAGCATAACCAATACAATTTTACTTCTGGGAAGCTGGTCTTACATAGATTTTTCTTAAATAAACTTCTAAACCATTTCTAATGTTTTCCTTTTAATAATATCTATTTAATGCCCTTTTTCTCCCTTTAATTTTCCTTGTACCAAATATATGCAAACCCTTTTTAATAAAATTTAATTTATTATCTAAAATAAAAAATACAGCTATACTTTCTCTTTCCAGGAAAACTTAAATGACATACAGGAACAACCCCAAAGCAAAAAAGCACAGAAAACTGAAAATTTTGCTCACCCTATTAGACTTCTTCTTTTCCTTTTTCTTTTTCTTAAAAATAGAACAAAACAAATGTTACTTTAGCATAATTTTATTTTTGCATGTATTTAGGTTTATGAACTTTGATGCTGGCTTTTAAAATGCATTCATGAAATTCTGTAAATTTCAATTGGCAGCATTGGTGATAAATCCAGTCCCAAACACAGAATGTATACAACTGAAAACAACTTACCTCTTTTTTTTTGGAGGAGCTTTCATTTCCACCCAGTAATTTCTCCCTGTGTTTTTCCAGTTCTTTCCTCCAATTCTGAAAACAAACCCAAACAGAAACAGTAATGGGAGGGTCATTCCTGAGCAGTATTTTTTAAGCTCTCCTCTACCTGACATTATAATTTTAATAAAACCCATTTTTTAACCAAAAAAAAAAAAAACCCACAAACCAAAACAATATATAATGTAAATTAAAGCTGTAATACACTTGATTTTACAGAAGATTATTATTTAGCAAAATACAGTGCTAATGTTAACACAATGTTCAAGTTATTTGGCTTTAGGAGATTGCCATTTATCTTGAAGGTCATCAATTACGGAATTTTTGCTTTTGTATCACAGTCTTCTTGTAAGAGCACTTTAGAAAATCAGGGTACCCTACCAGAAAAACTGTGATTTTCTATTAGTTCTAAAAATCACCTGAAACAAAACTTCATGACAACTTCTCCTGGCCCTTCTTTAACATATGGGTGTCTCTGGTGTGTATTCTGGGCCTTGTTGGTGTCAGCAATAATTTCATCAAATTACTATACACATCTTCATAGAAACACTCTTATTTGTTAGGCCAAGCACACCAAATGAATGAAGAAAAATCTCTCACTCCTCCTTTTCAGTTCCCCACCTGGTCTCTAGGTTTACCTAAAATGTCTCCTCTTAAAGAGCTCTGAAATATCCAATTGCCCCCATGAAATTCAAAGGCTGCTAGGTTCAATCTCACTGTCAGACACATCATGTGCTCCCTTTATTACTCTGATCCTCACAATGCAGCTGTATGGGTACTGTATTGGCAAACAACAATGATCCACATGTTGTGCTGAGGGGACAGAAATATCAGGAGTCAAGTAACTTGTGCAACGCAGGATGATACAGAGACCCCCACATCAGCACACTGTGAATTAGCTGAACAGAGCTGCTGAGGGACTGGCAGATGAGCCAGGAAGCAGTGCTGTGTGTAATGTGGTGTAATGTGCTTCCATGGACCAAGGCAGCATCTGTGGGTTGTGTACTTTGATATACCAGGTACCCAGAGCTCTCTGAGGGGGCTCTCACAACAGCCTGTGCTTCATTATTTTAAAGACTGTGCTAGTGTTATGTTCTAAACAGAAATGTCTGACAGCTGTCAGACAACTCCCCCAAACAGGGGAGACAGCAGCTCATTCAGAGACTTGTGATCTTTTCAGGCATTCAGAGATTTGTTCTTAGGAGCTTCAGGAATAACTCATGGCCATTTCATGATTCTGTGCATCCCATACTCAAGGTCTGGTAGCTTCTCTGCATGCCAGTTTCACTCATTTCACATTAAGCAAAGATAAAATCAGGAAAGGAATATTATGGAGTACTAAACCGAACTCACCAAGCTAGAACTCAGAGTGCAAAACAACTGATCCTCCCAGAACAGCACCCCATGGCCCTCCACATCCTGGTACAACTTCTCAGGCAAAGAGATACAGCAAGAGTACTATGGGTACTATGCCCTTCCAGTAACAGAGGAGGAGCGTAATCTACTTCAGCCAGAAACTTACACACCATGATGAAGAAGATTACTGAAGCTTATCTCAAGATACCAGGACCCAAGAAGGAACAGAAACAAAATAAATTCATTGTATACTAATTTCTCCCTTGTATACAACAGGAGTTACATGTGAAACTTTCTATACTGTGATCTTCAGTAAGCAAAAAACACAAACATTAGAACAGCTGCATTTATATCAGGAAACCAGCACATGTTGTAATCAGCTTAGGATGAGAGAAAAACAAGTGCTTCATAGTCCTATCTGACTGAAAGCCATTCTTTGTGCCTTCTCCCATAATAATATTACATGTATATTCCTTGCCAAAGACATCTGTTTCCAGTAATGTGCTTTTTTTCACTGTACTTGGATTCTGTGACCTTAAGCAAGTGAATATTGGCACAACAGACTTTGGATTATCATACCTGAAAATGCACTGTTTAATTTATTGATATAAGCACATGCATTTGTATAAATATATTTACATTTGGGACAAGGTCAGGTTTTATTCACCAGCAATCTAAAAAATGTTTTATATAGTTTTTTCTCTGAACTGAATGTAGCTCTTCACTGGTTAAGTTGTAAACTCAATTTCCAACATAAATGAAACAAAACAGTTACTCATTAGAAGCTCAAGAGAAGTGAAATATTATGGCTACTTGATATTGTAAATAATAACAGAAGTAGCATGTTAGATAAAAAGAATCATGTATTAAAAGCTAATAACATTACCAACCTCATTCATCTTTTCTTCAAACTCAGCCAAAGCCCTGGATCCTTTCTTTTTCTTTTCTAGTTGCTCTTTCACTTCTTCCCTGTATGAAAAAGATGATAGATCACAATTTTGAATTTAAAATTAAATTTTTAATTTAACAATTAAAAATACCTTTTAAAATGTCTAACTTTTCTGTAGTTTTTTTTTTTTTGAAGTTTAGCCTTGGTTGAACTTCCAAGAGAAGAATGAAAGCATCTTAGATGTTACACATATGGTAACCTAACCCTAATAACTTAAGTACGGTTGTTAAATCCCTCCAAAAGATCTAAAGCTAACTTTGCAATTAGGTAAATTGTTCTCTAATGTCTCATGAGGGCAGGCAAAGGGATTGAACATAAAGTAAGTTGATAATATCTCAAAGTGATGGTTTTGTTGGGTAGGGTAAACTGGATTCTAAGAATATACCAGCAAAATGGTTCTTTTAGAGATTAATTTGTTTACAAATTAAATATATCTACAAGGTTTAGGTATTACAATTTGAGCAAGAGGTAAAATGACATTTTCCTCTTCTGAGAAACTGTTGCAAAAATATAGACAAATGAGAAATATACATTTCAAAATTATATTCTATTATTTTTAAAAGAGGAGGTTGAATACATGTTTAGAAAAGAACAGCTTGGCCAGCACAAGAAATCTTTTACAATCTATTACTGGATATTCTGGGAAAGAGGTAGGCACCAGTGACATTTCAGTAAGAAGGAACAAATCTTTTACTGAAGAGGTCAAAAGGTAGACAGGCAGTGCCACTTACCATGTTGGTCTTGGCCTGTTCAAGTAGTCTTGTATTGTTGGTCCTGAATTTGGGGCAGGACCTCGTGCCCTGGCCATAGCTATGGGATTCATATAAGCCTTGAATATGAAACAACAAAAAGAAATACCAAATTCATCAGTTACACTAGGATACCAATATACCTTGTTCTTCACATAAACTTTCTATCACTCCTTGAAAAAAAATTCTGACTTGTTTCTAAGAATATAAAAGATTTAGCTAAACTAAGTTTATTCAGTCTGGCAGAAAGACTTAGGCAAGTGCTTTCAGTTGGAGTCATACTGTGGTAGAAAGAACTGATCCCCAAAAAGACCATGTTCCTTCCAACAATTCCCTTCCTTAAGCAATGCTTTTGTAAACAAGAATAGTATCGTGTTTTCTGAAATACTCTTCCTAAGGGATATAGAAAATGTAATTAAATTTCAGCTCTCTCTCTCTGAGACAACTGATCTTATGCCTTTAAAGTTCTGTTCAAAATTGCTGACAGGAGACACTAAATTCTGCATGAAATTTCTTTCACCAAAACAAGCAAGCAGTGGTACTTTGATACAATTATACATGTATCAAAATTCTGTGAGGTATGGTTATTTAAAAGGAGGAAAGAAGTCAAAAAACCCAAACATACATAATCCAAATGTTATGAGGTATTCCATCTTTCAAACCTATGAATCCTCTCTGTGTTACAAAAGATTAAATTAAAATTTAGAATTCATAGTCCACCTCACCAGTTAATGGAAAAACTTCAATTTTTTTTTTATGTTAGCAATATTGTTTTCATGTGAAAAGGAGGTACATGCACCCCCTTATCTCATTTATTTTTACCACTATGTCATCCCAACACTCTACTTCTGCAGAACATAACACACACTGTTCTTACTGTTCAGTCTGGAGACAAGGAAAAAGATCAAATAGCAAAAAAAAAGACTTGCTTTGGTTGCCCAATCTGAGACAATTTTTAGAGTACATTTTGTAGATCCAAAGCAAAGATTTGGCCATCTGTGTAGCTCTCACATGTCCAACACTGCTTTTTATCAGGCATTCAGAAACCACCATGCATCCCAAGTGAGCATTTGTGAAAGCTGTCAGAAGCAGCAGCGGCTGCCTCCCCTCCTGCTGCTCCCACGGCAGCAGCAGTGACCGCAGCAATGCTGAGTTTCTGGGCTGGACTGCAAGCAGGCTGCCGGCCTTCAGCTCTTGGGGACGTGTTTGGTCCTGGAAGAGGCACTCCAGGCTCTGCCTGGGATGAGGCATCTGGCTGCAAGGAAGCACTGCCCACACAAGTTTAGCTCAGATCCACCAGCTGGACCACTCTGAAGCAATCCAAGGAGTCAGAATTTCAAGTAGAACATTTTGAGACTCAACTTGACTGTGCAACTCTAAGGGGACATTTACTGCCATTTCTTGGGGCTTTGCTTTGTTGCTTTAATTCACACAAAAAGGCTAACTCACATGGCAAATAAACAAGGAGGTGTGCCAATTGAAACAAGCAGCAGATGGAAGTATGCACTCAAGTAGTTACAACACTTAGAAAATCATTCACATGACAAATCTAAAAATGAATAATTGAGTTCAGCTTTGAGTGGAAAAGGAGCTCCTTTAGGAATGCAGGACAGCACTATCTGAACACTGTTTTCACTAAAGAAAATGAAAGTTTAAATGCATTAAATCCACTTGAAACTTGGTTTACTCCAGTGAGCACACTGACTTTTGGTTACCATTCAAAAATTTGTATCTGAGAGTTCTTCTTTAGCAATTATTTTCAAAAGAATGAGGTCTCTTGCTGCTCCTTAATAAAAATAAGCTACTTTCCTACCTGAGCTAACAAGTCATGAATACCTCACCACTTCCCAACAAAACTCTTTACCTCCACAAGAGGCTATAGCTGTCAAATGCTGATTTTCTACTTGCTCAAACTGCCCCTGGATAACTGGCTAGGAAGCATCCTCCTTTCATTGGCTTTCTTTAACTTTACCATAGCACTTAATGACTGTGTACTGCTCTATAGTCCAGGATTAGGAAATTTATGTCTTAAGACATGTTCTTACAGTTTGAACCAGGTTTGTTTACGAAGAATTACTTCAACAATAAACATTCTTGAAAAGTATTTACACTACTTTGCCAAACTGCATGTCAGTAGTCAGAAGGAGCATGGAAATGCACCCTCAATAAAGAAAGGGATTGTCTGTACATCCATTTTCATCTTTTGGTAGTTTGCTCAAGCAGGTATTAACCAAGGTATTTGCTGCATAGCTTCCTTGCTCATGGGAAAGGTAAGTCACCTTCTGTCAGGCAAGGTTCTCTGGGCAAGCAGTGCTATTGCTGCCTTGCAAGTACCCTGCAGATGTGCAAAAATCATGTTTATTTTCCATCTCCAGAAAGTCAAAAATGATGGTGTATTTAAGAAGGGACATGGCAGAGAATAACAGTAGAAATCTTTATGATCATACATGAGGAGCAAAGGGTCCTATATTATAACTTGTCTGTAGTATGTATTACGCCATGACAGCATAATAAACCTTATATAGGAACATAAAGATTTGCTGACATTGGTATATCCCAGCTGTCCCATTAAAGGAAAATTAAGAGTAAATAAATACACACCTGAAAACCTTACAGGACACTTCAACCATAGATCCACTCTTGAAAGCAAATACACTGTCAGCTCTTTCTTAGTTGACTCAATTTTTTTGATAGGTCAACAAAGCCATAAAAGGGACTTTGCCATGTATCTATACAATATCTGAGTCCTTCATGTCTATTACTATACTATTCCACCAAGGTTTGCAAAGATGTGAATGGATCTGAGTACGAACTCATAGCATATACAAGAAAGAAACAAAGAAAAGGGAAAAAAATTAAAGTATTATGATTTGTGTTTAGTTTTAAAATTCAGCAGCAAACTTACAATGTGTAAGTGGTTACGATAGGGGAAAGGCTAACTGGTACAAAAACGTTTAAAGAAAAATAGAAGGATGAATGTGTTTCGGTTATGTATGAACTGAGGCTCTGCAGTCAGGTGCGTAGAAGCACATTTTTTGCCTGCTGAGCGCTGGCTCCCGAGGCAGCAGAGGGCTGCGTAAAGCTCAATTTCAGATCTCTCAGGTACAGCTCAACGCCAAGTTTAAGGAAATGCGACTTAGCTAGGATCAGAGCTACTTCAGTGACTGCTGCAACTCCCATTGGGAACATTTTATTTTTGTACGGACCAGGCCAGCATCCTAATCACCTTCCCTCGACAGATCACAAAGCGGGCGTCAGTCACGATGCCGCAGGATTTGACAAGGCAATCAGAGCTTCTGCCAGGGAGCCTCGAGCACGTGCCGAGGGAGGGACAACCCACCCACAGGGGGCTCCGGCAGGTCCCGGGGCGCCCCGGGCCGGGCGGGGCGAGGCGCAGGGCACGGCCCGCCTTTGTCGCCCCAAGCGCGGCCGGTCCCTGCTCCCGGCGCCGCGTACCCAGCCGGCCCCCGGCAGCCTCCGGGCTGCCCCGCCGGCACCGGGCCGCTCCTGTTCCCCGCGGCGGCCCCTCCTGCCCCTCCCGACGGTCGGAGCGCGGCGGCGGCCGGGCGGGCCCGCCCGGGCCGAGGCAGCGCCCGGCTCCCCACGGCCTCCACGCCGGGGCCCGCCCGGAGGTACCGCGGCTGCGGCGGAGCCCGGCCGGGCTGCCGCGTTACTCACCACACGGTTATCCCGCTTCCCCATGGCGCCGCCGTGACCCCGCGCCGCCGCCCGCCGCCGCCTCGGCCCAGCCCAGGGCCCTTCTCCGCGCCCGGGAAGCCGCGGCCCCTCTCGGCCGCGGAGCTGCGGGAGCGGCGGGAGCGGCGATGGCGGCGGCCACACAGCGCCGCCTGCCGGGGCCGCGCGCCTCCGCGCCGGGCCGGCCCCTCGCTGCCAGCGCCCGCCCCGCTCCGCCCTGCGCTGCCCCGGCGGGGCTGGCGGGCCGCGGCCGTAGCGCGGGGAGCCGGCGGGAGGAAGGGGAGGGGAGGGCAGCGGAGTTTTACCGCAGGGCTTCGGATGGCCCGGTGGCTGTGGAGGGGAGACACAGAGTCGCAAAATGGGACAGGTTGGAAGGGCCGCAGTGAGTCGTCTGGCCCAACCTCCCTCATTAAGCAGGGTCGTCTTAGAGCACATGACAGCGGATTGTGTCCAGACGGTTCTTGAATATCTCCAGTGAGGGAGACTCCACACCCTCTCTGGACAATGTGTTCCAGTGCTCGGTCACCTGCACAGGAAAGAAGTTCTTGCTTATAATCAGGAGAAACTTCTGTGCATCAGTTTCTGTCCATTGCCTCTTTTCCTATTGCTTGGAACCACTGAGAGGAGCCTGGATTCATCCTCTCGGCACCCCCGTCTCAGATATTTAAACACATTAATGAGGTCCTCTTCTCAAGTATCTTCTTGAGGCTAAATAGGTCCAGCTCCCTCAGCCTTTTCTCCTAAGAGGGATGCTCTTGTCCCTTCACATCTTTGTAGCCCTTCGCTGGACCCGCTCCAGGAGCTCCACGTCCCCCTTCTGCCGAGGAGCCGCCGGCGGGGCGAGCGCGGGACAGCCTTGGAAAGGGGAGCCCTGCAATGTAAACGCTCAATTGTGTCCTGGGGCTCTCTCTGGAATCTGCCTCCCAAGAGAGGGCAGGATTTCGTAGTGAGAGGTTTGTCTCTTGATCCATCTGGTGGTCAGTTACGGAGGGAACCGCTTTTCCTTTTGCCTTCCGTAGATGCATAGACTAAGGTATTAGGAAATACCAGCCCGTCCTGACATAGGATGGGGCCCTATTTCTGCAGGAGGGGGGAAATAAGAAAAAGAGAGGAAAACCGAAGTGTGTACTCATCCCTCGTTAGCCATCTGCACTGCAAAATAAAGCACTGTAATATCGGCAGGGTTAATATTACATTAGGTTAATGGAAGTGCTAAGACAAGCCCGGGAGTTATTGGGATCTATTAACTGATCTATTAACTCAGAATTTCAAATGTCCTTTTCTCAAAGCATTACCATTAAAAATTACTGCATGTTATCACAGCTTTGTAAAAATGGAGAAAAGTAATCACATGTTAATATGTTAATCATAGCAAGCACAAATGAGTTTTGTTACTGAAATAGCTGTCTTCATACTTGGGAAGAGCTGGAAAAATTGGTGAGCCCACAGGAATTTGTGATACAAAATTGCTTAGTAAAACCAAGAGCAGCCTGTGAGGAAGTAGAAGAAAACTAAGAAAGTGACTGTACTTGATTTGCAAGTAAAATTTGTTCAGTTGCAAATTTAATTTAGTGCTCAAAATTGCAATATAGTGCATAAGGGAAATTTTATTCCTCAGAAAACAGCTGATATGTTCTAAAACAAGGATGGCTACTTTTTCTACACCAGGCAGAATTTCTCCCTGAGCTGCCCTGCAATGCTGGAGAAATGCATTGAAAACTAAAGAAATAAATTGCATTAAAATACACAGAAGATAAGGAGTATTACTAAATCTATTATAATATCCTTTTTATGAAGCATGGAGAAGTCCTTGCCCCAAATGCATGTTCAGATTTGGACCATTCTGGTGTTACCCGTTTCAGGTGGTTGCCCCATGGCACTGCACACGTGTAGGCTGTCCCAGTGCTGTGGCAGCCCTGGGAGGCTCAAGGATGGCTCAGGTTTGGAGCAGAGCTGTCTGTCTGTCTGTCTGTCCCCATAGTGGCACAGCAATCAGGCTCTGGGACTCTGGGGGCTTCACTCAGCTGAAGCAGGGGAGGTAATGCCTGGGCTGCATCAAATCTGCCATGACAGAATGACTCTTCAGAAATGTTTTGACCAAAGTTGAGCTAAGAGAGTTAATTCATGACATGCTTTGTGCTGTGAGGCTTTGAGCCTGGTGCCTGGGAAATAGAAAGATTTGCCATGGCAGGAAAGCAGGGGTGCAAGGTCTCTCCCTATGCAGGCACTGGGGAGGAGGGAGTCCTCTGCTAGGCACTCCACAGTATTTTAATTAGATCCCAATTAGCTTTTCTTCCCTGGGCTGGGAAGGCTTGAAAGTCCAGCCAGACAAACCAGATTTCTAAAAATGGATGAAAATACTTAGGGAAAGGACTTCTGAGTGCTAGGAGACTAAAAGATGATCTTGTTTATCAAAGGGATGGGAGGTGGAGGAGCAACACAACTGATGAGTTCAAAATGAGAACTCACATAGATACTGTAAAAAACTTACTTTCCCTTTTCAGTAAATGGCAGGCAAATGATAGACAAAGACAATGCATTTAAAATTATTTTTAAATGAACATTTGTTTCTATGGTGCTATCAGATGTGACACCTAGTATCATTAGATAATTTTGAGTCAAAGAGTGAAATAACTTTTATGTGGGTAATGGGAAGAGTAACATTTATACTTTTTCCTACCTTAGCATTTTGCTTACAGGATTTTTTTTTTTTTTTACTATAATTTTCTTTTCCATAATTGGGTCTTAGGAACTCACCTTCTCACAGATGAGGGCCAGAAAGAAAATTCCCATATGAAGAATTTGTTCCATAATTGTCAAGACTGCTGGATTTTCTTCTGTGGTGTCTTGCTGTGAGCACTCTCAGAGATAAAGCACCAGACAGTATCCAGATCCCTATAGTAGCTTTTATGTAATGTTATGTATTTCCATTATTTTCCCTTTTTTTTTTCACAATTAACTGTGGCTAATTTGGGTATTTGTGACTCTGGCTTCACTGCAGTTCACTTTGTGCCTGTCCCTGGCTGGACTGCTGCTCATAATCTTACAATGTGCTTAAAGACAAATTCAGAATGTCACATAATGTAAAGGTAGCTTTTCATTTGTCTGTGTTGCACCTGCAGTTTATGTAACTAATGGTTAGTTTCATGGTTCCTTCAGGTTTCCAAGGGCAGCACAAGGTTTTGATTCTAAGTTAAAAATTCTTTGAGCTTTAGGGTTTGATCAGCTTTGCAGTCATTTCTGTCCCTGTGTCAGCTTTCATCCACCAGCTGACATGTCATTGAATGCTTGAGCTGATAGTTTTTAGATTCCTGGATCTGGTAGCTGTTGGAGGCCACATTAGTAGAAGATACTTCTTCTATACTGCTCTAAAGAGAACTTAATGAACTTTACAATCAGCTGAAGCTGTTTTTAAGGTGTTTCGATGAGGATTTTTGGGTTGAAGTAAAATCAGAAAAAGTGTACCTTGTTTTGGAGCCTGGTAAGTCATTTTGTGTTTCACTCAAAACATACACTTTTACAATTTCTATATACCCAGAAATGTTACTAGTCATATTTATAGTTGTGTTGATTTGGCATAGACTGATTTCTGGTAGTGGGGGGGTCACTGAAGTGGCTTCTGTGAGACCCTGCTAGAAGCTTCCACTATGTCCAAGAGAGCCAATCTCTGATGGCTCTGAAGGTGGATATGCTGCTGGCCCAATGAGAGAGGCTGGTAATGCCTCTGTGATGATATATTTAAGAAGAAAATCAAAACAGGGCTGGGTAGTTTTTTCCCAGGGATGGTGAAGTCTGCTGCTGGGGCCATCTCAGTGAGCCTTGTGTGCCTGGTCACCCCAGGCCAGCTGTGCTGCAGACAAAGGGGCACAAAGGGAGACGTTAAATGGTGCCAGCGCTGTGGCGGGTGGCAGGGCCGCCTGGCTGGCAGTGAAAACACAGTGAGGAACTCTCTGGCACAGAACCCAGGCGAGATCGACCTCTCAGCATTGCAGGATCCTGCAGGAATCTTTGAACTGGCAGAACTTGTTGGCAGTGGTACCTACGGGCAGCAGTTTTTCTTCTAGTCAGAGAAGATGAGGAAGTGAGGACATGTGAGTGAAAACAACATGGTGGCACCAAGGTCAGAGGAAGAAGAAGGGGAGGAGGTGCTCCCAGCGCTGGAGCCAAGATTCCACAGCAGGCCCTGGTGAGGACCATGGTGACACAGGCTGTTCTGCATCCCATCAGGTTCATGGGGGATGCAGAAATCCACTCAGCCCATGAGATAAACACTCACACCAGAGTGGGTGGAGGCCAGAGAAAGTTGTGATCCAGTGGGAGACTCAAATGGAGAGAGAGGGTCCCTGCTACCAGAGATAGAGAGAGAGGACCCTTGCTTCTAAACTAGAACAGCCTATCCTTAGAGGACTGCACCCTGGGGACATGTGACCCACACCACAATAGTTTGGAAAAGACTCTTTGTCTGTGGGAGGGAGTCATGTTGCAACAGTTTTGGGAAGATTGCTGTCTGTGAGATTGGAGCCATGTTGGAGAAGTTCACAGAGAACTGTCTCCCACAGTAATGCCTTAAGCTTTAGCTTTCATATTTTCCAGATTCTCTACTGCATTAGTATATAACTCTGAACTTCATATAATGTGTTAACAAATTCTCCTCACAGTTTAGTTAGACAAAACAATCCTTTTCCAGCCTGAGAACCAAAGACACAATTGCACCTTCAGGCCTAAAAAGTATAAACAACAGCAAATTGAGGAGAGCAATCTGGGAGGACGGGACTTCTTAACTTGGTGCTGTAACTGGACAATTAACTCCAATATGTAAATGGACCAAAATGTACAAAAGTGTGAAAATGTGTGATCGGTCGTCCATCTTGAGTGTAGCCTTGGGGAGGCTCTTGTACTGCCCAAGGTGTATCCTTTGAAGGCCTTTCTAATAAATACCCACTTTATTCCTTTAACACTATCTAGCCTCTGTTCCAGGCAGCCTCTCAAGGCGTCAGTGGGAGGGAACTGATGGCATAGCAGTGGAATGACTTCTCTCCCTGAGTGAACAGAAGAGGATCTCTGCTGACAAACTG